ATCACCATGTCAAGGCTGACTGGTGGTTGACCTGACGGTGCGCCAAACACAGGAGCATTTTAAGACCCTCGACACCGTCAAAAAGGATGCCCCGTTGACTACAAGACAGCCTCACACTTTGGGACGCTTTTTCAAAATAAGGCCGCAATCAACAAATGACGCATTACGCTGCAAAGCATCTTCACCTCGTTTTCAAAATTGCATACTTCATGCGACTTAGTTTGTCTAGATGGTTTAACTGGCCGGTAGAAAAGATTCTATTACCAGCTTTCCACTACTCTAAACATCTTAAAGCCCCGTTTAGTCGAATTTATCTTTACAAACTATCACCCGCATGAGACATACAGAGATTTTACCATCACTCATCCACCACCACAGCGTGCCGTGAGCGATCATCGACCGGCCACCACGAAAAGCGATCGAACGCTGTGGTTCATTCACATCAGATACACACTGAAAGGCAGATGACAAAACGAGCAGCAATCGTTTGCAACCTGCGAGATCCCATTACGACATTCCAATCGCGTGGACTAAATGTACAGCTAATATAGAAAATCCGTTATGACCTGATCTTCACAAAACGTCACATCTTAGCAAAGATCAGTCCACACCTCATCAGCGTCTTGCTCGTGACGTGCCGAATTAACACTCGTGCACAAATGCCCGTCCAATTCACATCGTCGGCCCACAATAGAATTAACGCCCATGAGCGAGCTGGTCATTACGGAGCGCATTACCACCTCAGTTCAATGAACCAGGGCAGTAGAAGGAAATCTGGTAACAGTTTGTTCGTGAGTTCGGTTCACGGCCAGTCACCAGCAGACACTTGCAAGCTGCGCAATAGTGGGCGGCGACTTTGTCCAAAGTAAGGGTCACCACGCTGCCGCGCTCTAATTATGGAGTTCGCTGAATGCCCGATCGTTCCACGCGCGAGCATTGCCAATGCCGACGTGACGCCTGCGGGCGGAATCGGACACCGCCGTGATCCCCATCAGCTGCCGGTGTAGTCTCAGCGGTCAGCGTGTCCGACATGCATGACGGCTGCACGTGTGCCGCCCCAACCGCATCCCTCCATCCGGGAGTTTTATCCGGGCCCGCGTCCATGTCTCAGCTTTCTGCGTCACACCCCACCCGCCGCTGGTGCATCGCGAACGGCCGACACCACATCTCAACTCGGGACAAGCCCGCAGCCCCCCCCCCCCCGCCCCACCCCCGCCCCCCAGACCTTGCACGCTACCAACGAATGAATGAATGACCAGACACGTATCACGCAAGCAGCGGGCAACACCAATCCTGACTCCGCCGCAGGCCGCGGCGCGGCGCAGCCAGCCGGGTCACACCCTCCCGGCGCCTGAGGCGTCGTCGGACGACGGCCGCGCGCCAGATCCGCGCGCCGGCGACCCGTGGCGCAACACGGCGACAGACGCGTTTCTCAACGGGCCGGCGCCGGCTGACCTGCAGCGGCGGCCAGCCTCCGGCCGGGCGCGGCGGCGCGGCGCACGGCGACGCGATGGGCGGTGGCGATCCCACCGAGCCGCCGGCCGACCCCGGCGCTGGACCCGGCGCCGGCCTGCGCCGTTGCCCAGCCGCCGGGTGCGCCGGTAGCCGGCGGCGCGCCTCCATCCCCCCGGAGTCGTGCTGAGCTGCTTCCCGTGCCGCCGTGGTCGCCGCGCTGGCGACGCGCCACGGCCGGACGCTCAACAGCGCAGACCAAGCTCACCAGACGCTCCCATGATCTTGATCATGATCAAAGGTTCAGAAAGATGTTTTACATGTATCTGACCCATTTGGGTGACATAAAATACACGAGTTTTCTTTATTAACATGAAATCTGTAATCTTCCTAATATAATAATTTTAGTAAAATAAATAGATAATTTACCATCGCGCACGACCAAGACCCCTTTACAAGACTGCCCGACTCGACGTGTGCACACAGCTGGCAGTTCGCTCCCCCCCCCCCCCCCCCCCCCAATGCCGTTCACCCACGTAAAGACCCGCTCCTAAACATGAGCTGACGCGAGCGTTTCAAAGTAATTGTTGGCTTAAATTTCCCCGGGTTGTGACCTCTTGAACAATGGCCGAGTTGAACCAAAAGGCAGAGGAAATGGCAGGTCAACTGAGAAGAATGGCAGTCAATCGTCCGCACCACTTTCCCTAAGGAGCGCCGAGACCTACAGATCAATATCATTTCATTGAATGAGCTGAAGACAATCATCCCATCACGAAGTTGTGACATAAGCCTATCTATTGCGTCCGACATAACTCGAAACAACGTCCACATCCCGAGATATTTCAATGCCTGGCCAAGCAACGACCAAATCCTGACTTACCCAACCATCTGCGGTTCGTACTAATAAGGCCGGTAACACATCCGCCGGCCGGTCAGCCCGCACACGCCCCGCCCGGGGAACTGCCGCTTGCAAAATACAGCGAGGACGTGCCGAACAGGGCCTGCACGGGCCTGGGCGTGACCCGACCCGCGCAGGGTGGATATCCCAGATGGGAACAGACCTGGTCGGAGTACAAAGTGGGCGGGCATGCAACGGCGGCAACACGACCCATTGTCTATCAGCTGATCGTGAGCGGTCGATGATCAGGGCTGGGACAAAATAACGAAGTTTGCGTAATTACCTAGCAGCAGTGCATGTCAATGCAATGAAATTTACGATAGCAAAATAGCGTTCAATTATACATTACCGATCGTTTCAGCGCTGAACGAACTTTTAGAACGCAGAGGCGCAGTGCGGACGTAGACGTGGCGGCTTACCGACCCAACCTTACAAAACCCTCGCTATTTTAACATTCATCAAAGTGTGTACCAGACAAAATAAACGTTCGTTTTGGAACGTTTGATCTTCTTTGTTTTTTTTTGGAACATACCATGACCTTCCCAACACACTTGCCCAGGCAATGCAACAAATGGAATTCGAAATCATAGCGAAATCATGCGTGCATTGCGACTACCGACACCAACGGCTTGCCGACAGCGCTTGCAGACGCCATACCCTAACGATGCCAGCAGCGTACAAGGACAGCCGCTGAACAAATTTGCCTACACGGGGCCCGTCCAGCTGTCCAAAGACCAGCTGGCGGGTAACAGCGGATGCTGTGGGTGCTGTTTCCGCTTGACGTGACCTCCCGTTTAGGTGCGGTGACCTTCAGCACGGAACGTTCCGCGACAGCCGACTGGTGGCATCACAGTCGGGTCGACACTCCGGCAACGAAATCAGGCTACAAATGTTGCGGACGGTGGCCACCCCTGCTCTGTGTCCTCCGTTTGGAATGCGCGATGCGCTTACAATTTCGCTGGCTCCTACGTATATTAAACGAATGCAGACAAAGTAGCTGGTCGTCATGGCATATGGGTGTGGGACTTATGTGTAGTGCCAAGTCCAATAGGCCAGCAGTTGACGCGTGTCCCTTCATGACTCTTTTGCAGATCAGATATCCTCTATAGGAACCAGCAGAGTCGACATCAGAGCACACAGGAGGCTTGGCTGCCGTGCCACATCCCGCCACAGCAGCCCCCGGCGCCGGCAGCAGAGGAAGCGCCGGAAGCAGCGGGTCAAATACCCTGCACGGCCCCCCACCGGCTCCGCGCCTCCGCCCGAGATGCGGCCCCCCTCCCGCTGCCCCTCTACACGCAGCGCCGCTGGCGTGCCTCGCCAGGAGGGCGGCCGGTGGCGGGCGGAAAAGCTGCCGGCGGCCGGCCGGGACGCCGGGCGTCGTCGTCGGCGGCGGCGGCGGCGGCGGCGGCGGCGGTCAGCGCGTGAGACAGTCGTGAGTCGGAGAGACGCGCCGGGCACGCGCCGAACGGCAGCGCGCTATCCGACCGGCGGCGGCCACGCAAGCTGGCCAGAGGCGCCCGCGGTCCGTACACTGACGACCCGACAGCACGGCAGCAATCACCGGCCGTCCGAGAGCGGGAAAACCATGGCATGCCGCGCTTGGAGAAGTGGCCATGTGACAGCGGTGTTTATGTCAACAGTGGCGAAATCCTGTGCGGCCGCAACCGACACCTGTGTCGTGTACTCCCAAGTCGTGAGCGACTGGGAGGTGGTTTTGTACACGCCTGTTGCGGGCCGATAGTAGCCGGTCCAATAGAAACGCCGCAATCTTGGTTTAGGAAATCGAACACTCGGCACCTTGCTACATCAAGAAAAGAAATTTGTGGGTGACACACGGCACTTATCTTTTCTAATCGCATAGTTCTCGGTAGGGCATATCTACATTATTCATGAGTTGAGAGTCGGTATGCTAAAACGTCATCGGCATTCAACCACTACCTATTGGTATATCTCAGGTAGCTGATATTCAACATATTCCTGAGCGTAAAATGAGAAATACCTGGGAGTTAAAGGTCATTTTTGCCAGTATCCAATGCATGCATTTTATCCGATGTCAAGCAATACATATATCAAATGTCATCAACATCCGCACCAATGGAGATTGCCCGCCATCCACTCTTCCTTTCTGACCTGTCTTCCTCAATTTTTTAAAACCGTTCATAAATCCAACAAAGAGATGTCGAAACCTGACCACGTATACCGCTATGTGTGTCCATGGTAGTGCATCGGTGTTGATAATTGATATGCGTGAGCATTTTTAGATTACAACTTGGAACGCGGTGTCTAAACACCATGTCATGTAATGTGCCTGTGCCACATCCCAAGCATTCAGATCAGCTGTATTAATAACCTTCACGATTCACATATTTTATCCCACAATGACCAGCATTTTCTGACATTCGGAGGATGTCAATTGAGTTTCAGGCAAACCAAACGAATGAAGCAAATTGCAAGTTCACCTGGAGCAGTGCACGCCTGGCAAACCTGAGGTAAGGGGTCCGATTCTCCGCGGTAGCCGTTTTTCTTGCCATGGTGAGCAACAGGCAATAGCCCCATATAGCCAAGGCAGCTAAGCGTCTCGAAAATTTAAGACAACACCAAATTGTCACCGATGCGCTGCGAATCTGTTGCACTCGGTCGCGCATTCGCCCATTCATTCTTGGCCCTAGCGACACACGTGCGACCTGCCAGTTTGGTTTGTACTCACCAGATGGCACTAGGACGGTGGTGAGGAACATGAAGACGCTGCCGAGCAGGATCGCGAGCAGAACAGTGAACCTCCAGTCGGTCTCGCCGGCCAGAGGCGACGGCCGCGCCGTGCCCTCGTCCTCCTCCACCTGGTAGTTTCCCAGGAAGAGGTCGATCGAGTCCTGTCGGCGGCGGCCGATTAACGCGAGCCCAGGTGTGGTCTCGCAGCGCCGCGATCACGCGTCCATCCCATCTCCGTGTCTCCAAACCATCAAACGCTGCACTTGAACCGCATGGTGGCGACGGTCTGACTAAATGAAACGGTTGCACAATCGATGACTAATAAGGGCCAAACAGGGAGAGGATGCAGCAAATTAAAGAAGCTCGTGCAAATCGCAGGATCATTCCCTAAACACGGATAGCGGCGATATCCGCCACCACAAACCAAAATATTCATGTGCGCCCACAGCAGTAATACGCAATCGATTAAGAAACTCAGGTAAAACAAAATTTCTGTGTCCCAATCAAACACTTCCCTGCTTCAATACAATACTGGTTCAGATCACTTTGCCGCCAGCTGTCCACAACATCCTCCGAGCCTTGCCAGCCGCCCAGCCAGAGCTCCATCACAGCCTGGTCCATCTATGCAGTTGGGCTCAGATTTCATGCCTGATTACAGCCGTCACATCGGGGAAACACACCCGACACTCCCGCTGCCGCGCCCGCCGCCGACCCCTACTCATCTGTCGGAGACACCCGACACATAAACTGCCGCGTCCACCGCCGATCCCTGCTCATCTGTCGGAGACGCCCGACACACACACTGCCGCGCCCGCCGCCGACCCCTGCGCACCTGACGGAAGCCGTCCTTGAAGTTGTTCTTGACGTAGCGACAGAGCGAGTTGTAGCCATCGCGGACCAGGCCCAGCTTTGTGCGCTGGCCGGTGCGCGTGAAGTCGGTCTTGAGCGCCGGCGTACCCGAGTACTGGATGGAGATCATGTCGGCGTTGTCGGCCCACACGTTCTTGTAGAGGAACTCGAAGCCCGAGTGCTCCTCCAGCCGCTGGTCCTCCCGCAGGATCGATAGGCGCTGGAGAAGGGGGGAGCCGTGAGCAATAGCAGCGTCATGGCACTTTGACACATGCCCACGGACAGGAAATTGTCATCACTAATATCGATCAATGGTCCATACGAATCATCGATCAACAGGGAAAATTTGTGTACCCAGCAATGACAACCACAGCTTTTCCCCGCAAGCACAACATAACGTTAGCTCTATGGTTAATCGGGAGTCTGAGGCCCCATTTCTGACCAGACAATTAACAAATCTGCCCCCTCCCCTCCGTCGCCAGGGGGCCCCGCACCCCCAGCCACCTCCCCCGCGCCCTCTGTGACCAGGGCACCGGACCCCTGACTAGAACACCCTCACCCTTGACTGGGGTCCCCCACCCCTAACCAGGACATCCGCACCCCTGACCAGGACACTAGCACCCCTGACCAGGACACTAGCACCTCTGACCAGGGTACCCGCACCCCTGACCGGGGCAGCCGCACCCCTGACGAGTACACTCGCGCTCCTGACGAGTACACTCGCGCTCCTGACCAGGACATCCGCACCCCTGACGAGTACACTCGCACCCCTGACGAGTACACTCGCACCCCTGACGAGTACACTCGCACCCCTGACCAGGACATCCGCACCCCTGACCGGGACGCCCCACGCCCCGGCACGGCGCGTCACCTGGAGCGCCTGCTGCAGCTGCCGGTGTGCGATCATGCTCTGCACCACGTTGGTGCGGTCCAGGCAGTCGATGCAGTTGGTGCGGAACACACCGTCCTGCATGCGCGCCAGAACGCCGTCCCTCGTCATCAGGAAATAGCCTGGCGACGGCAGCAGGCGCGCCTCAGTCAGGCGGTGGGCAAAACGGTCAGCAAAAAGATATCATTGCGCCGGGTTGGGCGTAAAAATGGCATCTCTTGACTTTTACAAGCACCGCGAGCGAGATTGCTCAAGACCTGCACCAACGACAAATCATAAACATTGGTGCATTTCGTAACACAAGCCACTGAGTCCAACGTCGTGAGCTTCGCTGGAGAACCGTAAGAGGACTTACCCGCGCCTATCCAACCGCAGCGCCCCCCACACGTCGGGAGAAGCCCACGGCGCTGTCCGACGCGTCCGTAAATCCCTCACACTCGGCCCACGAGAGCCGCCACCGCCAGGCGGGTCGGCGAGCGCTCACCCATCTCCTCCTGCTCCTCGGCGATGCGGTCCATCAGGATGGAGAGCCGGTCCCAGCGCATGTGGCGACACTCGTGGTGGAAGTCGAACGCCTCGTACCGCACGTTGGGCGTGTTGAGCTGGCGGATGTGCGACGACATCGACTCGCCCAGCTTCTTCTCGGCGCCCTTCTGGTCGATCTGCGGGGCGGGGCAACCAGGAGTGCAGCCCGGTAAACTGGCGACCGGCTGGATACTCAGTCCGCCTGAGCGCATGAGCATTGCCCTTGGAGGGCTCGCGTACAAGACACGTTTTACACATGCCCAGCTAGGTTCATGTCTCCCATCTCATGAGTGTGGCGAAGGCGATAAAGGGTTAGATACGCTGACACGGAGTGAAATCGGAGGGTATGCCTACAGCGTGCTGACGCGTTTTCCTCTGGAAGAAGTTCGAGGATGGCAAGCAGCGTGTTTAGAATAAACCCGTCCCTAGTTTGTTTGGAGCGCTGGTGAACAGTTTACACAGTGCAGTTCAGTGTAATGGATGCTGGTAGCCCACGTCTGCCTGGTTCCGGGCTTTGACGTATCGAAAAAAATACACGCACGCGCAAAAATACGCGTAAAAATACACGTGCGTACACAAAATGCACGGAACTAGCATGCGCCAAACAGCACACTGCTGACGGCCGGCGCTCTCTCACCAGGTTGATGACCACTTGTTTGCCGTAGTTGAAGAGCTGGGCGTCGAAGTGGCGCGTGCACGCCTCCTGGTGGTTGTCGCGCTCCGAGAGCGTGGGCGTCGGCTTGTAGCGCAGGTTCGGGTACTGGGACCAGAACAGCGGGATGGAGCCGCGCGTCTGAAGGAGACACACGGCGTTAGCTACCGGCTCGTGACGGAGGACCTCCGGTACGGCGAGGAAACGGCTGCAGAGAAACATATCAAAGGACTTAGCCACATACAGCCGCGCGTCTGAGGGAGACACACGGCGTTAGCTGCCGGCTCGTGACGGAGGACCTCCGGTACGGCGAGGAAACGGCTGCAGAGAAACATATCAAAGGACTTAACCACATACAGCCGCGCGTCTGAGGGAGACACACGGCGTTAGCTGCCGGCTCGTGTCGGAGGACCTCCGGTACGGCGAGGAAACGGCCGTAGGGAAACATCAAAAGGACTTGACCACATACTGTAAACGCACGTTGTGCAGTGATTAAAATTAATTGGAAATGATACTGGTATACTGACACGAACGCAAGAGCTGGACCCAGCAGTGCCCAAAAACATTGCAAATATGTCGTGGACTGGTTTAGATCACTGCAACTGTACATATATCGGGGAATTCACTCATGGTAATGGACAGGCGACACATGCTACACCAGTCAAGCACATTCCAAAAGCTGAAATTGAGAGCAATACGTGGGAAAAGTGGATTCACAGTGTCACAGTGCAAACAAGCAATGGCAGCATCGGGTAACAGAATCAGCCCATTTGCCGCCATTTCATCCATGGAGGCATTTTCTACCTGCACGAATGAGTTTTTGTCGCCCTGGAACTCGACGATCTGCTCCGTTTCCACCATGTTGGCCACGTTGCCGCCCGAGTCGATTCCTCGCATGAACATCCTGGCCAGGGGTCAGGTCACATGATCAGATGACCTGCCCTGGGCCAACGGCTTGCAGGCAAGCCGGTGGCTTCGCTGAAGTTAAACTCCAAATGGCGGAGGGGAAATCAGTAAGAAGAAGACGGCTGTGTGCGCTCACAAATTCAGGCCGACCGCAACCAACGTAGCCGGTGTTTGACACCAATCATCAGCAGGTCATACATAATGACGTCATGACACCAGAAATCGTGCACCTGATCGGAGGTCAGAAGCAGCACCCTTTACTGCATTCCCATTTCACTCCAAGCGCACCAGTCTTTCAGAATTAAATAGGAAAGCAAAGGAGATGTCACCTCTCGCAGCCACAAGTGCAGATCCCAGCTGAGTACAACTGACAGCGTCGGGCCGGGTAACACGAGAAAACTGGCCGTATCACCCCAGACAGTCTGCGGGAATTAGTGTGGCACGACAGCCTTTTATCCCACCCAAGTCTTATCTTTCCGACCACCTCACACACTTAACCTTCGGATAGGAATAACTGCAGACCAACAGATGCAGCTTCTCGGCTTTCTACGGACCACCGAAGGAGAGCCAAGATTTCCGATGCGTTTTTTTTTTTATGTCACAGCGCACCAGCCCTGAAGTGGATGAGTTCGCCCAAGGCGGATGTTGATCACGGGGACTCGGCGAGCCAAAGGACCTGAACCTACGAATGTGACTTGGTGCCCCTGACCCTGAGCACTGACCCTGACCTGGTTCCTCTAACCCTTGGTCGGCCTTTACCTGTGCCTGACCTGTGGTTGTCCCTGACCTGGTGCCTCCGACCCGCGGCCGACCCTGACCTGGTTCCTCTAACCCTTGGCCGGCCTTTACCTGTGCCTGACCTGTGGTTGTCCCTGACCTGGTGCCTCCGACCCGCGGCCGACCCTGACCTGGTGCCTCGGACCATGGCCGATCCTGACCTGGTGCCTCCGACTCCGGCCGACCCCGACCGAGTGCCTCCGACCCGTGGCCGACCCCGACCTGGTGCCTCGGACCATGGCCGACCCCGACCGAGTGCCTCCGACCCGTGGCCGACCCTGACCTGGTGCCTCGGACCATGGCCGATCCTGACCTTGGTGCCTCCGACTCCGGGCCGACCCTGACCTGGTGCCTCCGACCCGCGGCCGACCCTGAACTGGTGCCTCCGACTCCGGGCCGACCCTGACCGAGTGCCTCCGACTCGTGGCCGATCCTGACCTGGTGCCTCCGACTCCGGGCCGACCCTGACCGAGTGCCTCCGACCCGTGGCCGACCCTGACCTGGTGCCTCTGACCCCAGAAGCACCAGACTGGTGCTTCTGACCTCACACCCACCCTAACCTGGTGCTTCCGCTGACCCTGACCTGGTGCCGGCGCGGGAGCAGTTGCGACGTGACACCAACGACCAGCTGAACGGGTGTCCATTCAGGCTGCACTGTTTGATGGAGACGAAGCCGTGGACGACGGGCAGACAGAAGCGGCCGAGCCCGGGCCGCGCCGCCAGGTCGCGCAGCAGGTGGCTGTTCCAGACGAAGCGCGGGTCGGCCCGCTCGTGTAGCGGGATCTGCCGGCGCATGGGCACGCGGGGTGGCAGCGGGCTGCGGCAGCGGGGAGGGGAGGTTGGCAGCGAGGTGCGGCAGCGGGGAGGGGGTGGCAGCGGGGTGCGGCGTTAGACTACGGCCCAGCCTAGACGACCGTAGTCTAGCGCCGCACCCCGTTAAGTGGCACCTCCCCCAGTAAGGTCACTTTCATGTGGCATCTGGCAGAGTAAAATGCAAGCATTGTAGCATGAAATTGCATGTAAAAAGAACAGATTAATAAATGCATCTTAGGTCTCTTTGCGGCTCATGGGAGAGCCTGTGTTCCTGGAGGGAATGCAATATGATATGGGTTACGTTCTCCTCTGCCCTCGGAGCCATAAGTGGTCATTCGTATTGTTTTGCTGCACGTACGTGGTCACTGGACCCGACTCACCAGCTGGGCCGTTGATCTGGCTCGGTCCAGTCACATGCTCCACTGCACGGGGAATGGCCACCAGCCCGGCGACTGACGTCTCTAGGGAACGCCCCCACCAATCGGAGGCATACGACAAAGCGGTGCGGGTCGCTCCGTTTGCACTACAAGGATTCAGCCCGATACTTCAACACCTGCTGCGACCACGAACCAGCACAGTTCGATCACTAGTTGGCGTGAGGAGTGCTCCCTCTCCGCTCACCTGCAAAAACTCGGGCGTGGTGTTGTGCAGTCGCTGGATGGTCTGCGTGATGTCGTATGTGTAGGAAAAGTAGAAGTGCGGCTGGCGCAGCACCATCTCCAGCATGTTGACATACTGGGTGTTGAACCGCTCCTGGCGGTGACGCAGAGCAATCGGTGACTCCTAGTGGATTCGGTAACAGCGCAGGAAGCAGATCCTAGCGACGGTGGCGAAGTACTGACCACACTCGCTGCAGTTGACGAATGGCCGCCAGACGCATGATACTCGACACGGGACACGACGCAGTACAGCGCAACCCATCACCTGTGCACGACAGCCTAACGTCGACACACTGCTGAGAAAATAAGACACAAAAACGTCCAGACTCAGTTGCCTTTCACCATCGTCTGTTGCCATCATAACGAAACCTCTCACCCCGCCTGCTGCGACACAGGCGGGCACGTCACGTTCTGCTGATCTTTTCACTGATCTGTCGTCCAATGACCGTTCCACTCACCGACTGTTCCATTGACTCTCCGTCCAGTGACCGCCCTACTAACCTGCGCCTCAGTCAGGTGCGTGGTGGTGCGCGAGAACGGAATGATCTCGGTGTGCTCCACGCGCCAGATGGTGCACTTGTTGAGCTCGCCGACGCGCGCCTTGCGCGTGATGGCCACCAGGTAGGGGCCGGAGAGCAGCCGCACAGTGCCCAGCAGGCCGCAGATGCGCTGGCGGCTGGCGATCGGCGGCACCGTGATGCCATCTGTCGGACGTGGATTCAACTAAGCAGCAGCCCTGGCAGACGGGCGCAGACTTGGGCGTCCACCAGGAGACGTCGCATTACACTGCATTGCACTGCCACTGTCTGGTGCAGACTGGTGCATATCTGTGCTGTGTACATTGATGCATCTCGTTCTTCTTCCCAGCTTTTTTGTATCACTAGTGTTGAACTTACAACTGCATCAAAACATCAAAATTCGGCGGCGCCTTTCTTTACCGAGGCTGGTTGGTCAAGGTCACATGCCCACAGCACAAGAGAAACATGTACTGCATGCAAAGAATACCAATATGACTGGTGGCTTTTGAAACATATAGATTTGAGTCAAATGCACATACTGTTTGCATCAGTAATGCAGCTGACAACAGTCACCATCATCAGTGACTTACTGTGGAGAGCGATGTCCCGCGATACTCGGTCGATCACCAGAACTTCATTTGGAGCCTGAAGAGGTTCAATGAAAAACTTCTCTGGAGCAGTATGCCTGTGAAGAAAACAAAGCAGAAAATTGTACAGGTGTAAAAATGGTTAAAAAGACCCAAATCCATAAAGCCTGTCACAAGATCAAGGTCGATTTCAGTTGATTTTGGGAAGCAAAACAAAAAGTGTCCATTTCAGCTATTGCTGAATTTTTCAAGCTTATTAAAGCTGCAAAAATCTGAATCAGTCCCCAAATGATTTGGACCAGATATTGTAAGCCATACAGGTGGCCATGAATAAAAACAGCTGCTGGAAAGTATTGTCATGAAGAAATGTACAGAAACTGACCAGTAAAGTATCTGCTTTATAGACCAACACCCCTTCAAAAAAGCACCAATAACACACCAGCACAGAACTCCTCAGCCCCACTACACAAAACTTGTAGAAAATTTTGCTTATGAACTTTGTTATTCTGGCAGCATTGAACATTGATACCCTTAAGTCAATTTCATCACATTCCTCAGAAGTCTAGTTTTTTCAGCAAAGCTTTAGCAGCCAAAATAAGTTATGACAATACAAGAAGCACTATCAGTTACTGAGGCATACCACTCCAACAACAAACAGGGTCACATGCTTTATTACCAGGTAACATTGACCACACCATACTCACAGAACAAAATCTTCATAGATGAACTCTGCTTCTGCTTTTGAAGACATTGTGGCACTGAGTCTGGATTCACTCCCCTAATCCTTGGGCCTGCATAGATACAAAATGATGTCAAACATGTGGCTGACATTACCTCACATTACAGTTACACACACACTCACATACAGAGGTGGCTATGAAGTATTGTGTAGCTACCAAGTATTTCATCTAAATATGGCATCAAATGGACAATTTTAATGTCAAGTTTATGTTCAAGATGCCAGAAATATACTCTCATGGCCCAGATCAGGTTCACCAATCACATGGTAATGTTATACACAGCAAAACCCTAAGCATTTGCAGAATGTGCTCTAAACCCAGAATAAATTGAGTGATTACATGGTGGTTACATTGAGAGAAACCTCCCTTCCCTTTTACACATTGTTGAGCTTGACTAACATCCCCAACAAGGTCATGTCTCTTGGGCCCCCAGTTGGGTAAGAGGTGTGAAACAAAAAACACTACTATTCCTTTTCATGAGTGAAAGCCAATGGTGTCTGATCTTAAGGTTTCAATTTTAATGTTGCTTTTTTGCTATGTTATGATAAAATGATGCTGTCCAATTCTTCCATATCACTCCCCTGTTACATTTATATTAGGTACATCAAGTGACCATCCCTCTCCATGTGAGATGCTACTTATGGGAGGCTCCTTATTACAATACCAGCATGTGCAGTTATCACACTGCAGCCCCCTGTGGACCCCATTTTGATGGTGTTTTTAGAATTCTCTTGATTTGGACAAAGCAACTTCTATAAGCTTGATTTCAAATGAAAGAGAACACATGTATATGCCTGCAATCTATATCACCCAAGTTGACAGCCACTTCCCAGAAACATTTTTGGTTTGGCCTTGCAATGCCACATCCTCTCTGCACATGTACAGCTCAATATATTGCAAGGTGAAGTGGACATTATGAACATAAACATGTGATATGTTAGAAATCTGGTTGCATGGGAGTAAGCAAAATGCAGCCATCATGTTCATAGCTAAACTATGCTACAATACTTAAGTGCATGTAAGAATGAGAATAACAGGAATAAAAGGTTTTGAAGAAGCCAGATCCAAATAAATAAAAATACTACAACCAACTATGAATGTTTCTTAATAAACTGGCATTATGGAACGAGCAACAGTGTGACTTGACATCAGGTGATAACAAGCTAGACATTGGTGTCAGGCACATATGAAAAAATACATGTTACAATGCAAATATCTGGCATAGCAGCCAAATCCCAAGAATAATTTCAGCATGTGCACCACTAATATCAGCACATAACTAGCCAATTTTTTGGAAATGATGCTCTTGCTGTGAAAAATTAAAAAAACAAAATTGCCACAAAGGCATAAAAGCAAAATTTGTGTGGAATGAGGCTCATATCACTTTTTGGAATGCAGCAGTCTTTATAAGCTGACTACATGCAAACCTATTACACAGCAATATAGTTATATACCATCTGGTATCAACAGCAACTACAACATATCCTCTATGTTGTGAAAATATGATAGATGCTATCTTGCATTGGCAATGGTGTTCACAGTGTGTCAGTGCAAAAGGTGCTGCTGACTGATGATAAGAAGGTCAGTCAAGAGAGCATGGAGAAATCCCCATTGCAGTAGCAAAAAAGTGGCAAGGATAGGAGCATGACTAGAGTGGGGGTGGGGGTAGGGGCTGGGATAGGGGTAAGGGTAGGAGTGGGGCAGAGGTGAGGGTAGGGGCAGGTATATATGGGGAAGGGGTACAAAGAAATAGTGAGAAAAGGGATAGATCATGTCAGGTTACATAAAACCCCAGGAAATCATTTTTTTAAGAGCAGCAGCATCATTTAATACCGTGGTGTGAAACATAAAAATCTTTGAACTACCCATGCCTGTCATTTCACACTGTAAATGGCGTGACTGTGATGCTACCTGGTTAATGGATACCTGGGGTATTGCATTTCAGTCTGTTACAATAATCATGCAACAAGTCATGAGAATAACACATGGCATGCTGAAACAGCAGTGCACAGACCATTAAAGGCATTGGAATAATTATTCTTGCCAATTTTGCCAACAACTATTTACTTTAGCCCTGAATGTACAATAAATCAGTGTCAGCTCAATTTTGCCTAGCCTGAGCCCAGCACACACGCGCTCCGGGTTCAGCGCCGTACGTCATGTAAGTCCGGCACAATGGGTGGAAATGCCTACCGACTATAAACAGAATATGCAATCAGGTAGGTAGATAATAAGCTATTCTTCTTTTTCCTTGATACGCTTGGGTTAAAGGCTATTGCCTATTTGGCATTCATTAACATGCAACGAGGCCGCAAAATTCTGCCGCTAACCTTTACGCCGATGGAAAATGAAAACAAACGTCGGAGCCGCCCATCAACATGAGGGTAGCTGTATTTCAGGTTTGCACAAGCCACTTTTGTCTTTGAAGCAGTACATTTGTCAACGCCAGATGTAGTCTGATGATCGAGAATCATAAGTATTCCAGAAGGAATTTTTTAGGTTGATTCAATGCCCAATCATGCCTAGATTTAATACAACTAGTTACGCATGAGTGCAATAATTTCTCCAGAAAACGAATTACAAAATACTGGAAAATATGTGAAGCCTGTACAGAGTTTGAGCGGAGGCTATGTGCCAAAGTAATAGCAGTTACAGTATTATTACGAATTTTGGCGTGGTGTAGCTTGTCCTAACCATAATTTTCAATTAACGTGACTTAATCGAGGTTTGAGGATGTAATTTAGTATCCCAGCTCAACAATTCTTTCAAAAATTTATGCCTTTTCGTTTATTGAAGAAACGAATTGTTTTGTATCTGTCGCCATCTTGGTTGCGCTAGGCGGTCCGTTGTTCCCTCCCCAGTGCTCCGGTCCGCGAACAGGCGAGTTCACCGAATTTTTGTATCGGGAGTGGCGCGCAATGCGTGCTTTTAGATGACTATCGGCTGTGTGTTTTGCTGTAGATTTTGTTCTGCTTGTTTCCTGAGACCTTCGATAGAGGTCGCTCATGTTTGTTCTACGCTAGCGCCCGCGGTGAGCAGATCCCGAAAGTACGTCGAGAGGGCGCTAGTTTGGATTTATTGGGACGAGGGATGTTTGGGGTAGGATGTGGAATGCATGCTTCGAATTATGCGAAATGATGGCCAGGTTCGTCTTAACGCCGTTGTACAGTGGTACATATCGTGATACATAGAAGGCACCCTAGGTTTTCAGTGTCATAATTCCGGTTCTGGCCAATGGTAGGGGCACTGGTGCATCAGTCACAGACTAGGTGCGATTGGGAAACGAATTGGAGCGGTTTGGGTGCTGTTATAAAAAAAATATGTTGGTTGAGAATGAGATGTGGACTTAATTTGTGTGTTGGCTGTCATTTCTTTATCATTATCCACATATGAGGAGAACCCTGGGTATCCCCATGGCATTGGTGTGATCTATTGGGGAAACAAGGCCAAGGATATTTGCAAAGTGCATTCAGTTTGCAGCTTAAATAGCTCATCCATTGTATTGTTTTGTGATTCTGAGAAAGAATTGTAATGATGTAGCAGGGCTTACTTTTGGGTAATGGATCTAGATTACCTAAAGCAAACAACTAGTTTATATCTTTGCAAGCAGTTTACAGTAGCAGGAAGTATGTTCACCCTTTTCCTCATTCCAAACTAAGGTTGGGGTAGATGTCTAGTGCAGTCTTGAAAGAGATAGTGTGACTAGTGTCTCATTTTTAGGCTAAAACATGTAGTTTTAGACTATTTGGCTGGTCTGAATTGTGGGTTATTACCTTAAGGAGGTAGGCAGACTAGGTTTGTTAGTGGAGCAGGGAACCTCATGAAGTTCACTCAGATCTATGTTCTTATCTTTTCCATGGCCGGTAATTGTGCTTAGCATCACATGAATTGTGGGTATTGTGTGATCCAGGTCACAGTTGTTTATTTATATATAAATGCTGTAAGCAGTTCCTGAGGGAAAGCAAAAGGGCTGTCACTGTAGTTTTGATGTAAAATAACTGCTGAACTCAATGTTATCCAGCATGCAAGAACTGAGAAGGCTAATCTAGTCCAGTGCCAGATGTCAATAAGGGTCTTATATAAACTGGGACCAGCTCTGCATGAATTCAATATTAATCATGGGCTGCATGTTGAATGCATAGGAACACACCAAATGCCACCAGTTTTGGTTAAAAATGGTAAGCTTATGCAGGTAAGCTTTTTGCAGCAAACCTGACCAGAGTCAGATGTGGCTGGGTGATGTGAACCAGCACTTGAAGGGCTCTGGATAAAAAGCCTTGGCTGTGATTCAGCAGGACAGACTCAGGGTACCATAAGTCCACTATTTTGGTTTTCTGCCCCAAAATTTAAAAAAAAACTACCCAGAATTTGTATTTTGCCCAAGCCCTGCCACAAAAGGAACTAATCAAGGTCTGCCACATTCTGCAGGCCGCACCAGCTGAGGAGGATTTCTAGCAGAGTCTAGTCTTGACCGCTTGACTTCTTGACTTTGAGGTGCTGCATAGCCTGTTCCTCTTCTCTGGTCCTGTTTGGTCCTGTCCAGTGTTGTCTAATCCTATCCAGTAACTTGCAGTCATATTGATTCCTGATTGTATTCAATCTCACATGGTGATGTCCAGTTCTATTCATTTCTAGCTGGTCCCTTTCCCATCCACCTTGTGTTCAGACCAAGGAACAAAATCATCTTCTTCTTGCCTTTTGATGTGGCAGCCTGTCCAAAGGTTTTAGATTTTTTCAGTTTTGAGCTATTTTGTTTTTTAGCTTTGGCTTTGTGTTTTTTAGGCCTTGGCTTTTGCTTTTACTTCAGTTATGTATAATGCAATAGTTTACTTTGGCTTACTCATCAGTTTTGTATAAATGTTGAATCATTACTCTGCCATTGGGCTTATGCAATTTTAACCAGTTTCAGCCTTGTAAAGAGCTGACCATAAATTATGCTGCACATTTTTGATAATTTATCAATGTGCCTCCCTTGCCCATTTACCAGTTACACATTGGTTATGCTGGACAGAACCCCTCCCCCTGGTTACACTGTAATAAGCATAAGGTCTCAAAAGGGTTATGCCAGGTTGGTCCCTAGTTGAGGTAAAGGATCAGGACAAATGATAAGAGTGATGCTTGTTAGGGCAAGATGCCCTGATTTGATACAAAAAGAAGGGACAGGCTGGTTGAATGATAGCAGCATTGCTTAAGTTTGGTGTAATGTGTGTGCACATTCTGTGAGTATGTTGTTATTTTGCTGGCCATGCTACCTGTAGTGAATTCTGACAGTGCACTGTTTCACAGAAATTCCTGCTTGTGAGCCATGGCAATGGAAGGCCAGGCTGAGAATATGTCTGATATCCAAAATTATCTGGATAACTTCCAGAAGGAGATCCAAACCAACCAACATGAACAAGGTATGTGTACATATGGTTATGGTGCTGATATGATCTATTATATTTATATATATATATATATATATATATAAATATATATATGTATGTATATATATATATATATATGTATATATATATATATATATATATGTATATATATATATATATACATATACATGTTTTTTACATCTGAATGTCTGAAATAGCCTTCCATGCCTGCATCAAACTTGGTGTTGTTTGGATACATGGCAAGGATATGACAAATAATTACACTGAAACCATTTTCTGCTAGAACTTACCTGTTTGTGACTCAATGCTTGTTCCTCAGGGGCAGGTGAAGTGGGCCAAGTGTACATGGACCAAAATGGGCAGTATTTCATTCGTCAGGAACCTGAGCAGCAAGTCACTAACTCAGGAAGGCCTAAGGTGAGTTGTGAAGCATTTTTATTGCATTTCAGTTGGAGATGTGTGGTCAATAATGTAATCCAAACAGCACATTATGTTGAGGTCAAGATTGAGCATATGCTGTACCTGCTCAACCTTGGCTTCTTAATCGGAACTGTGGAACTGCTTACTGCTGTGTGCTGTCAGTTGTAAGCAGGTGTTATTCGTTCTGCCCAGCCCTGAGATCAGGGACACCTTCCGTGCTGTGCGTATGGCCGTCGAGTGAGCCTGGATGGCGGTCACCCGTCGCCTCCCGCTCCTGCGACTCTCGGGTGACCGGCGCCGGCGCCCGCAGCGATCGGTGACGACCCGTGCTGCCGCCGCCGCCGCCGCTGCCTCAGCCGCCGCCGGCACCGGCGGCGGTGACGCGGGCGTGGTGCAGCTGGCTGGCGCGCAGGCCGTGGCCGGATCGGCCAGCTACCAGACGGTCACCATCGTGCCCTCGGACGCCAACTCGGACGAAGTCAGCTACGTCCTCATCGTGCAGGTGAGCTGGGTGGCGTGCGGTGCTCGTGGCAGGAACGGCGCGGTAGATCGCTGGCGTGAGATGGTCATGGCGTGTTTGGCTGGGGTGTTCTTCCATTGGTCCACTATTGGAGTGGATGGATGAATGATGATCATGCTGATGATTGGTAGCACATGGTGTTGTACTGTGCAGATGTGGATGCTCGGCCGGCACCCCAGCCCTCCGCCAGTACTGTCTCGCGAGCTAGTCCCTGGCACGAAACTAAGCAGGAAAATTCCTCACAATCAGTATGGGCGGGCGGACTTCGACTGGACAGGGCTTGACCGAACCCGGTATCACGAAGTGAGGGCTGTGAGGGCTATAAGGCTGTGCAGGGAAACAAGTAGAGGGGGTGGTCCGCGCCGCCTTGACTGGCAGACCGGTTCATGGCTGTGCTGCCGGTGCACGTCTTCTGAACCGGGGGTCCGATATGCCCGCCGCGCGCCGCGTGACCAGGTGACAGCCGACGGACCGGTGTTCCACAGCCGGACGCGGAGGAGGGCCAGAAGGAGGAGCAGGACGACCAGGACATCGGCGTGTACGACTTCGACGACGGTGACGAGGCCGAGCATGAGGAGGTGAGCACGCGCTCGGCGTGCGCCGGTGCGAGTCTGCTGCTGCCGACCGGCCGCCTCTGACCAGTGTCTGGCCGGATGACGATGGGATGCGATGGCACAGTGGAATGGAAGAAGACCTGAGGAGCTCTGGTGATGCTGTAGCTGGAAGGAGATGTTGGTTTGAAACGACGGGTCTTTAAGAAAATGAATGGTGGTCGAATGCTGTCATTTGTAGACGTATTTCGCCAATGTGATATGTGATATTTGTCAAATACTAGCTTTCCGGCTGTGGTTCACACAAAGACTGATTTCGTTGTAAGAACCCTATTAAATTCATCTTATGGTGTGTTTATGGCCGTGCTGTGGCTCACACCACATGTATCGTCCCATTCCTTCTATTGTCTGGTTTGCTTAGTCTTGCTATAATGTTAGCACAATAACCTATGCATATGTGAACTTCACCGACTTCACCACCTCCGCTCCCTGGCGCATGGGTTGTGGTCTGGCTAGAGGCTGGGTTTGCTTTGCCTCATCTTCATTCTGGTGTGAGCACCTCGGCTCTCGTACATTGTGCCCATTATGTGAAACACGTGACTTACTTTCATAGTGAAGTAAGTCACGTGACTCACGTGACTTACGTGACTTACTTTCATCTTGGGCACTGATCCAGTTACCCATAAGAAGCTGGGATGGGAAAATTCCACAATGTAAGCTCAAATCTGTTCTGAAAGATTTTGGAGGAAATGTGAATTGAATGAATCAAACCCTTTTTTGAAAGTGCATCCTGCATGTAAGGTGTTTACCTTCTGCTTTATATGTTCGCCGCATATGCACACCACAAAACTTCACGTGTATAGCACCTTGTGTTTTCACGTGCGAACTTTCCGCCCGTGTTCAGGAGGAGTCGGGCGACGAGGACGACAAGCGGAAGCTGTCCCGCATCGTCACCCGCAAGTCGTCGCAGACGGTGTCCCAGGCGCACATGTGCAGCTACTGCAACTACACCAGCCCCAAGAGGTAGGGTGGGACGTCTCCGTGTGTTATCTTATGATTGAGTTGTTGCATGTCTCGCAATGACGCGGCGGTTGTATCTCAGTCCTGAAGCAACTCGCCGTGGACCCAATGTTCCTTGTATGAACTTCCTGTGGGTCAGGACTTTCCCCGCTAGTTTGCGGCTGTTCATTCATACCCAGAGCCCTGTTATGCATAGTGGTCGCGGCAGTCGGGCGGTCTGTGGCGCACCTGCGCCGGAGGGCGTATTGGGGCGGGCGCGGGCCGCCGGGCGGTGCGGCGCGCCCGCTGACCCGCGCCGCCCCCGCTGCGCCGCCAGGTACCTGCTGTCGCGCCACATGAAGTCGCACTCGGAGGAGCGGCCGCACAAGTGCTCCGTCTGCGAGCGCGGCTTCAAGACTCTGGCCTCGCTGCAGAACCACGTTAACACGCACACCGGCACCAAGCCGCACTGCTGCAAGTTCTGCGACGCCAACTTCACCACTTCGGGTGGGTGCGGTGCGCGGGCACCGCCTGGAGGGCGCGGTGACCCCTCAGGCGGCGATGACCTGGTCTTGTGCGATCCAGTGCGCGGGCATGATCTTCGTCCAACACCGACAATGGTACATGGTGCCCATGGTAGCCTGTAAGTTTGTTTAGGTCTGCCTTTGCATTCCAGTTTGTTCACGCCATCGAACATTGTCCTTATTGCGGGGTACATTGGACGCCTGAATTGTCGCGGAGGCTGAGCCATCGGGTGAGGTCAGAGGCGGACCGTCCTTGTCTGACTGGCCCCTGTACCTTGTGCGCAGGCGAGCTGGTGCGCCACGTGCGCTACATCCACACCAAGGAGAAGCCGCACAACTGCACCGAGTGCGAATACTCGAGCGTCGAGCTGAGCAAGCTGCGCCGCCACATGCGCTCCCACACCGGCGAGCGGCCCTACCAGGTACGTGGCGGGCCGGCTGTCGCGCGCGTTCCGCCGGCCGCCCAGCTGGCGCCTGTGTACCGGCTGGCTATCGGACGTATGGCAGGGCCCTTATATGGCCATGTGGCATGGTTAGTGCGATTGTAACAAGTAAAATGCGAGTGCATTGGTAGGTTCTGAGTGGAACGGGTCTGCGTTCGTTGTATGCGTCTCTCACGCGTCTCTGCGATGTGACATTAATGCCTGCCCGTTGGTTCTTTCGCGCCTCCATTGTTTCGTTCAAGTGTTCGTTCATTCGTCAGCCAGCCAGCCAATTCAGTCTGATTGTGTGCTCCTTCAAGTTTATTTATTGTAATATCAGGGACGCTGTTCTTGATCTGATGGCGGCTGTCAGTTCGGAGTCACCAGTGCCACTATCGCGCCGACAACTGATGTGTGCGGTATCGATCGCCGGCGCCTGACCGCCTGACCGCTCCGGCAGTGTCCGCGCTGCTGGACCGTGAGACATGTGACGCACGGTCACATGTGGCGTGTGACCGGCGCATGATACGTGACCGCCGCCCCGGCAGTGTCCGCACTGCACGTACGCCTCGCCGGACACGTTCAAGCTGAAGCGACACCTGCGCATCCACACGGGCGAGAAGCCGTACGAGTGCGACATCTGCGGCTCCCGCTTCACGCAGAGCAACTCGCTCAAGGCGCACCGCATGATCCACTCCGGTACGTCGTCGGCATGTGCTGGAGCGCGTCATGCTCACTCGCAACACTGGACGCTGGTGTGTGGTGTGCCCATTACCGCCGGGGCAGGCTGTAGACTGTTCGTGGCTCATTCGGAGTCTGTTTCGCTCTCAACCGGGCGATAAGGCCCGATAACTGTCGGACTCGGGCACTGGTAACTGCATCTTGCTGAGCCGCTGAAATTGGGCGTGCGGTGACGGCCAGCGGTCCGACTGACCCGTGGCTGTGACTGGTTCGGTGACGGCCAGCGGTCCGACTGACCCGTGGCTGTGACTGGTTCGGTGACGGCCAGCGGTCCGACTGACCCGTGGCTGTGACTGGTTCGGTGACGGCCAGCGGTCCGACTGACCCGTGGCTGTGACTGTGCTTGGCTCAGGTGAGAAGCCGTCTTACCACTGCGAGCTGTGCCCGACCACATGCGGCCGCAAGACGGACCTGCGCATCCATGTGCAGAAGCTGCACACCTCCGACCGGCCCATCAAGTGCAAACGCTGCGGCAAGAGCTTCCCCGACCGCTACTCGTTCAAGGTATGTACTTCACAGTGTACTGCGCTGGGCGATTGGTTGTGTGAAGTTGGTATTCATAGTGTGCGCGGGTCGGTGCATAAGAAAGTAGTCACCAAGCTGCTGGTTACATTATGCTTTCCCGCGTTGCGACTCGGTGTAGTTTGGTGGAATGCCTCATGCCTTTTGGAATAGCGTTCGCTCAGTTCAGCGATATCCCCGCCATCAGCTGGATTGCAGGGCATCAGTTGGCCAGAGGGCGTGTCCGGAGCATTGATGCTGGTACACTGACTGTTATTAACGCACATTTTGTCTGTGGGTGAGGGCAGCCATAAAGGCACTGCATGTCGCAGTGTGAGCTGCTCATTTTCATATTCCGTGATCGTGGCAGTCTTAGTAATGTTCTGTGCCATTTTTCTGTCCACCACACCCTAGTCACTAACGCTGCCCGTTTTTTTTCAGCTGCACAGCAAGACGCACGAGGGTGAGAAGTGCTTCAAGTGCGACCTGTGCCCTTACACGTCCATCTCGCAGCGCCACCTGGAGTCTCACATGCTCATTCACACGGACCAGAAGCCGTTCGCGTGTCAGCACTGCGACCAGTCGTTCCGCCAGAAGCAGCTGCTGAAGCGGCACGTCAACCTGTACCACAACCCGAGCTACATCCCGCCGCAGCCGCGCGAGAAGACGCACGAGTGTCCCGAGTGCGGCCGCGCCTTCCGCCACAAGGGCAACCTGATCCGTCACCTGGCCATCCACGACCCGGAGGCCAGCGCCGCCGAGAAGCAGCTGGCACTCAAGCTCGGCCGCGAGACCAAGGTTTCGGTACGTGCGGGTGGCGGCGGCGGCGGGCGCGGCAAGGTGCGGCACGACCGCGGCCGGAATGAAGACGGGGGGGGGGGGGGGAGGGCGACGCTGCACTTCGCCAATGCGCTTGCTTGCAGTGCACGGTGCTTCGCGGCATGACAGGGATATGGCACGTCTGATATCTATCTATCTATCTATCTATCTATCTATATATATATATATATATATATATATATATATATATATATATGCAGAACCGTGCTGGCCATTCGTTTTGGGGTACGTTCGTAATATTGTCAGTAGAATGCACCAAAAGTGGTAGCTGCGAACATCATAGAACAGCGTTTTGACCCCAACGAATGTTGAGGATCTAACATCACGGTTTTTGCACTTTGTGTTTGATTGCACTAAAACGTGTCATAGTGGAGAGTACCGAGTATTTGCCTCGTTTGGGGTCTTCCATGTTAATGATGGCAAAATTTGCAAAGTCGTTACAGCGGAAATAGTTCGCTTGTAGAGCAAATGAAAGTATCACATGAGTTTTGGAAGTGAGTCACGCTTTGCTTGCATCTATCTTGTTTTTGTTTTTTTAGGTAATGACAATACCTGTCAGAATGCACTGGGAAAGGATGACAGATATCAAACAATATGACAGATTTCTTCAAGCTTTTTACATCTGAATAGGGGTAATGAGCCGCGGCTCTCAGGCACCAGCCCACTCAAAGCTGTGCAAATGCTAACTGTTGTGTCGGCTCCTCTTGATATGCTCGTCTGATATCGCAGGCCACCCGCTGCCCTGTGTGTACCGTACGGTACTGTGCTGAGCGAGCCAGCTGACCTGCCAGCTGACTTGTCAACTGACCTGCCAGTCCGCTACCCGCAGCTGCTTGGCAACGAGCCGATGTACCAGGACGAGGACGACATGATGACCGAGGACAAGGACCAGGCGCAGAAGATGGTGGCCGTGCAGGGCCAGGACGGCCAGCAGTACGTGGTGCTGGAGGTCATCCAGCTGCAGGTACGGCTAGCTTCAGGCCTCGGTCCAGATACGTCGCCGCGCCACCGCTCGTGGCCTATTCCGCCCGCAGTCTTATGACCAGCTCGGCTGTTGGGCGACAGGCTGCACCGTTGTGAGCTTTCCCAACCCGGTGCGCACGTTTGTGTGCGTGTATTTCAAAGCTGTTGTGTGGACGGCTAATGCAGTAAAGGCTCATATTTATCACCATCGCTCCTGTGATCGCTGCCGTCATGAACGTGTTAGGGATAGTCCGAGCAGCATGCCAGTGAACCAGTCACCACCATGCCGTCACGGCCGCCGTGTACGGCCGTGGCCGGTCTGGTGCGCTCCCGCTCCCGGCGGGCGACGGAGTCGCGGTTGTCGCCGCGTCACAGCTGCCGCCGCCGCCGCCGGCAGGACGCCAACGGCGAGGAGCAGACGGTGGCCGTGGTGCCGGACTCGGCGCTGGGCCAGTCGGGCACCGGCATCGACATGCTGTCGGCCGCCGCACCGGCCGCCGCCATCGACGCCGGCGCGCTCTCGGCCGAGGTGAACCTGGCGGACGGCCTGCCGGCGGGCCTGCAGCTGCCGGCGGCCGGCGGCGCCGCGGCGCCGCCCCGCCGGCCCGGCACGCCCGGCGGCCGCCGCCGTGTCGACGACCACGCCGTCCAGAAGAGCAAGCAGGACATGCAGAACTGCTTCGGCTTCGATGTGAGTGGGCCGGGGCGCGGCCCATGGGAGGGGCCGCTGGGGAAGAGCTGGGCTCTTGCGTTGGATGGCAGGGTTAGGTTGGAGGTTAAGGCTCAGGTGAAGTCCGGTTGGAGACGATTAGGAGCAATCTTGGTATCGAGGACGTTAGCCGCGTGGATCTGATATTCTTGACCAAGGACGGTAATGGTCTCTGGCTCTGTCGAAGATTTGGTTGGGTGAGTGGGTGTTGGGTGCAGGTGGGCGGTAACTTGTGGCAGTGTGTTCTGACGGACAGGCCAGAATGGTGACCCATGGTTTGGTGTTTTGCGCTTTAAGGGAGAGGCCGAAAGATGATGTGGAAGGAGGGGTGAGCTTGAGCTTGTGCAAACGCCTTGGCTTCCGGCGGTAAATTGTCATTCCGTAACTCTCGATGGGTTTTTCAGGACGACGAAGATGTGGATCTGCTGGAGAAGAAGGATATTTTTTGAGGCATTTTACTACGTGGTGACTGGTGCCCCCCATCTAGTGAGCTTTTTTACAATCTTTGTGGGACCGCCCAGTTCTTAGTTAATGCGCAAAGGGAAGCCTCGGTTCCATTCCATAAGACATTCTCGACTGAAATTTGGTGTCTCAGTGTTTTCGTTGCGTACTAGACAGTGGCGAATATTGCATGTCTGCAGTTGGATTTGTTCGATTGCGTTCTGGGTATTTCCTTGGTAAATCTGGATGGCCCTGGGGGCGGTGTGAATGATGTGATGGTTGTATGTGAATGGTTTTCTTTATCTTAGATCTGTTAGCAATGTGCAACACAGACGCAAAAGTACCTCTAAAATACTGGGGTTCGCGGAGTGAAGCCAAACATGATGCTCATAATGCGATTGCGGTTCCCGCGAAGGAGAGGAACAACACCGACAGACGTCCATCCAATTAGTGGCGGAGGCCCAAAACATCCTCGAGAACTTGTTTTGACCGCTAATTGGTGGTGCGTCTGCTCCAGCTCCGAATAACCTGAGCAGCTCATTTTGTTTTCCCCCAAAGTAAATGCCATTTGAACCTGCATGAGAGGGAATGCCAAACGCGTGGGGGCCGGCCGAGTTAGAAGACGGCGCGAATTCGTAGGCTAAGCTGCACACAGAACGGTACGCCAGCACCCAGCTGGCGCGGCCGAACTGTACTCGTTTGGCACCTATTTGTCGTTCGTGGTGGTACAGGCTGGTTTCTGTGACGGTTTATGAGTGCCCTACATTCGGGGGCGGCCGGAGCGATGCGGCTCTTGTGAATAAGCGTTCTGGCATCGCCGTCGCCGCGGCCGCCTGGCTTTGGATGTATGTACGCGCGCGATAAATAAACGTTGGAAAATCGCTATTCTGTCTGTTTTTAAGACGATACCCGAATGACTGAATGCTGAGCATTATGGTGGGCCGAAAACATCATCTGACGGAACGTCTCGGTAACTTGTTGAAAACAGATGACGATCCTTGAGACTGTGACATACAAAACAGATAGTTAATTGGGCTAGCGCATCTCAGTTGATCACCCTTGCAGGAGGGCTTCCGGCGGTGCAGTTTCCTGTGCTTACGCAAGCGGAATAATTGATTCGGGTATTGATAAAAGCACTGCACTCAATCTTCACAACGTACAACTGCAAAGCGGTTTACTTGACGTGCAAATCGATCGAGTTGTGCCTGTGGGTAGCTTTTGAGCCCGGATGGGCCGCATTAGCAATGCAAGTAACTGACAAAGAGCAGGCTTAAAAGACTCCACGTGCCGTTGTGGCCGCATGTCTGCATGTGCGAGTCACTATGTTCGTACATCTCACAGGTGGAGAGGTGCAACTTTCGCCTAAACTAACCGCGTTTTCCCGCTCTCAGCTGGTTAACTTCCGAACCACATATGCTGAAGTTGCATTATTTGATAAGGCTACCGATGCTCTACAATTAGACGACGGTGCTCTGTTTCAGAATCGATCACTTTCCTCTATTTTCGGGCTGAGGTTTGCGCGGTAATAAGATCATGTCTTTATTCAGCGCCATCTCCGGTGTTCGCTGACTCGAACACTATTTTCACGCATCTCTCCACACTTTGCGTGACGTGGAAAGTCAGGCGGTTTTCGAGAGACTTCACGAGCGGCATCAACCTTGACAGCACTGAAGACAGCACTCTCAGGCGGTTCCGTCACGATCGGAACACGGCCCCAATCGATGATCTCAGGAAAGCCCAGCGCACTCCAGACTAGAGGCTCCCTAAATGTGCGCGACGCCTCCGATTTCGGTCGCTGCCTGGTGTCCAGTATCGGTGCCACCAGTCTTTGTCGCATCCCTCTGTTCCCGCATTTCCCTGTGTGTATATGTATCTGTTATATTGCACATAGAATCTATCCCCCCCACCAAAACCGATGGAGAATACTCATTGCTCCATCTCACCCATTCGTTCCACTAGACTCTGTCTTATCCTTGTTCTCGCATTTCCCTGTGTGTATATGCATCTGCTATATCGTACATAGAATATGTCCTCCCACCAAAACTAATGGAGGATACTCCATGTCCCATCTCACCCATTCGTTTTGTTCTTCCCCCTGTCCACGCGCCTCTTCCCACCTCCGGTGTGTTTTCTCACCACGTTGTCTCAGTTCTGGGTAGCCACAAGATCAAAGTCCACCAGCAGTGCCAGAGCAGCCAGAGCAACCGCGACTCTGTCGGCCTGCTTGCATCGGTCGCACTCACAGGACACACGGTCACACAATGGATGAGAAGCATTTCGGTCCGACTGTCGCAGAGGAGCCTCGTGTTACCTCAAAGTCGCATTCACTGCCTCCCAGCCTTGAGTGAACCGAAGGAGTCCCAATGTTCTTCGGTGCGTCATTTGTCCTGTAAACAGCGTCTGAAGACGTGGCCATATCTTGCCCGTTCGATTCTTCTTCTTCATTTTTACCTTTCTGCTCTCTAGGCTCCGGGTTCGCCTTCTTTCAATACCAGACACACCTGGCTGTCTCCTTGTCTTTGATCTCTCAAAAATATCCATTGAAGAGAGGTTGTTTTCCTCTCGCTGCCGTCAAGCACAGCACCGACAGCAGCAAATATCTCGTGCAGGAGCAAATATCTCGTGCACCGACAGGAGCAAATACCAAACAGCGCGATCAGCAAGTGCGGATAATTATTCTTGCCTTCGGCATGTTTGCCGTGCCTTTGGTGCTTTGGTTGCTTTCAGTTGATTATATCTACGTCTGAGCAAGCATACATTGTAGTGTGTGATTTCAGGCGCAAAACGGATGACATGGAAGAGCGGCCTTCTGGTCTCGAATTTCGGTAGCTTATGTCACTTCTGATACAAACGGGAAACGCTTCCGTTTCCACCTAATAGGCTTGTTTCAAAATGTTGTGTTCGGGCTTGCCTTTTCTTCATTTACTTGTGTCACTGGCGTCTGCAACTTTGAGAAATACGCCCCCGGGCTCTGTGTCACAGAAATAACGGGAAGGACTTACTCGTGTTGATATGACGCCAACCCTCATTTATTGAGAGTGCACGTGGCTGAGATTCCCTGCAAGAGCTAAGCGAATCAGACTAAACCACATGCGAGGATAAGCTTACCACCTCTACATGCACACTAACTTTGGTTGATTAAGTTGTTTGTCCGGTTGTCGTCGGTGGCGGTGCGAAGTATGCTGTCATCGCGCGCACGTCACGCGTCACCACCACTTTTCACGGCACCCCGGTCACAGAGAGCTGTTTCTGAGGATTATGTTGGTAGCCGCCATTGTTTGCACCACCTTTCACCCGCAGATATAGCGCACGCATTTGGTTTGGTTTTTGGATTAGAGCCCTTTCGACCAGACATGATCATTTCAGGGCTGTGGGATGGAGGAAATGGTTAACGATGGTACAGACGCGCATGCGCCTGGGGGGGCCAACCGCCGAGCTGTAATCCGCGCATGCGCGGGTACTCTGTGCCCCCCCCCCCCCCCCTCCCCTCTTCCCACGGGGCTCTCGGCCCACTCGTGGCTGACGCACGCAGTCTGCCCTGGACAAGCGGGGTGTCGCGAGGATGCAGGATGAGGCGAGGTGGAGGCTACGAGGGACGGATGCGCATGCGTTTGAGTGATCGACTTGTATAAATTGGCACCACGGCGCCGTGCAAGCGATACAAATCAGCGATTGGCGACGTTCTTGACGAAATGTTTGCGTTCCTCTGGAATTAGTAAAGGCGGTAACGCTCAAATGCTGATACCATATCACGTGACGGCATGAAAACGTGGAATAGGTCTTATATCGCCACGTTGTATCTTGCTCGTGGTGCAATAAACAAAGTCCTCAGCTATTTCCATCATTCAGGCACTTGGTGAGACTGTATCGATCCCGTAAGTCCACCTGCTCAGACCATCCCAACGTGCGTAAGATGAAGGAATCTGTCTCACCACTACCGCATTAAACCTGAAGTGATACAGGGTTCGAATCATACTTTGATATTCATGTACATAGATGCGTGCAATACGCGCGAATGTACTGTGTTTTCTCTTACGAAACCTGTGAAAGTGACGTAACGTAGTGTGGTTACTTGGTTCTGTTCCAGAACGCCCCTGCTTCAGGACAGTAAAGCACGAGTGTTTTGTGGACCTGTACCTGGCTGCTAACCCATGCTTAATTATTCAGGCGCTATCGTCTTTCCTGCGATGCCAGACATCCACACGGCGTTTGTTGGTCGGCTGACCCGAGCTGCGTCGAATGCTTCATACACTTGCTCAGTCACATGCGTATCAATATATTACTTAAGATACGTTGAATCGCACCACAGACATATAATACACCCATAAACGGGGACTCACTAGGTCATCAGTACATACATACATAAACAAAACAAATAAACACAATAAGCTCAATGGAGGGCGCTTTCTAATAAGACTTGGAAGACGCTCCGTTAGTTTCAGCAGGCTCGTGAGAGAGAGCAGAAGGCGTGTAAAATTGAGCAGCCTTGTAAGAGGGAGAAGCAGGAGCGTAGGAGCGAGCTGGGGCGTAGCTGGCCTGCTTGGGGTACTGGGCTTCCCCGTCGTAGGTGACCTCGGCGTTGTAGCCGCCGTAGCCCTGGTTGTCAGCCGTGTACTTGACGTGCTGGACACGGCCGTCGGGCAGGTTGACCGAGTAGTATCCCTGCACGACCTTGTTGTCACTGTTCTCGTTCTGGGAGAACACTGAGTCGCTGTAATAGTCGTTGACGGCGTACGCAAACTGGTACGGCTGGGTGTAGTACCCCGGTTTCTTGTACGAAGAGGCGTAGGAAGGCGCCCGGCCGGACGCCGGAGCTGAGACGTGGCTTGGCGCCGGAGCAGAGGCGTGGCTTGGCGCCGGAGCCGAGACGTGGCTTGGCGTCGGAGCAGGAGCGTAGCGGGGTGCGGGTGCCTGGCCGTAGCTTTGGGCCGCAACCACCGACAGAACAGCGGCGAGAACGCAAATCTGAAAAGAGATAACTTTTTTATAGCGCGCCTTAGTGCAAATGACAACCACCTTGATATTGTGTAAGTTGTTAAGTGCGTTTGCGAGGAACGCTATTCACATGGATAAGTCGGCAACTTCTCTTTTCGGAACAACAACAGTACCCTTCTGCTATTGTTTCGATAAAGGTGCGTTTTCGAAATGTCAACCCATCTATATCTTCACTCTCTTGGTTTTTATCCGAGGAATAAGGCTAACAGATTTATATTGAGTCGTTTCTGGCATTAACAAGCATGCAGTGCTGTACTGTTTTGACCTCTCAGTTGACCTCACCTTCATGGTGCTCTCAGTGTGGTCCGGTGGGTGACTGATGCTCTGTTACTGGGCTGGTTGCCTTATATACGATCTGTTGAGGAGGGCGGTGCCGCTTTTGCTGCCAATACCTCTCATTTTCCCACGGAGCCGCCGTGTGTGTGTACATGCAGAGCTGGGTATGCATGTCGTATAGCTTCGAGGAGATCAGGCATGTTACGCAAGGCATGGGGTGTGGAAAGCATGGTTGTCACCATTTGAGGTGCGTTGCCATCGAAAAATGTTAACTGCGTGGCCTTTGTAGTTTTGGCCCTTCGATAATCGGTACAGAAATCGGGTAAGATAATCAACAGCTTGGTACACAATACGATTAGCATTGCCTTTGCTTTGAGTGTTGTCGAAACCACCCTTTGAAGCGATGGATCACTCATCGAAAAAAATTATGATTTATCTTAAAATCTTTATTTTCAGTGCCGGTAATGGAAACTGGGACATTATGGATATGTGAGGTGTGTCCCAATGTTGAATAGTACACCGATCGTAATTTCTTCCTTTGATATATTCGTTCTGCCGGTTTTGAAAAATTATGTGCTCGCATGTGTGATGTACAGGTAGAAATCTTATATTCATAACGACGTAGAACATTTTAGTGTAAACATGGGTGTCTGCGTAGAGCTATGCTTGTAGAAGGTATCCGTCCCTTCACGCTGTCCATGTACACTCGATATGCCACACATGCATTTTGAAAAGCTGTTGTAAAACTATGTTATGTAGGCACTACTGAATATTGACTTAGGTCAGATGTGAAATTTCATGTCAGGTCAACGGTCTAAAGGCGATTGTTGAATTGCCCTTGCGTTTATTTCAAGACAAAGCAAAGTTTATCAATATGGAGAACAGCGAGAGAAAATTTTCCGAAGCTGTAAAATCCCACGCGCACAGGTGGCCAGTTGAATACCCTTCGTTCATGTGGGCGCCAGTTTGACGCCCCTCACCGGATATCGAGAACTAAGATACCCAGAGACACCAACCTCACAGAGAGGGAGATCATCTGCATTAGAGTTTACTTGGGTCGAAATTTCAGGTTCCTGGGCAACGACCCTGGGGAATGGCCGATGACAAACACCGAATTGGTGTCCAAAAAGCACCCACACCTCCGCATGCAGCCGCCGTGAACCTAGATGATCTAAGCAAGAGGTCAGGTGTGTACATATAAGACTAGTCCCGTTGTGTGACCCCTATATGGTCAAGATGACCCAGATCCAAAGATATTGCTACCATTTTTCCATTCAAATTTGCGTCAGCGGTTACGCCAGGCGGTATGTTCTAGAAAAGCGCAATGTTGGCCTGGGTCATTTTAGATCCGTATCGTACTGTATTCCTTTGAGACGTCTATGGAACACATCTGTTGCGCTCTCTGTCATTAATAAATTCAAAATGAGAGTCGGAAACTCCCCTTAAAGCAATCTTTCGAGAAAAAGTAGGTCAGCTTTCACCACGGTCTGGCCTTCACACCTCACCCTACGTCAATAGTATTTGTTGTAATTATAAATTCGATCGCCTTACTGCCTATAAAAACATCCCAGATATGAATGGCTTCGTCAGACACTCCGATGTTGCATCAGATTAAATGATACCCCAGAGATGGCCTTCGCTGACATCCACAGCCTTACTTTGACCTGTTACAGGGCAGCGACCTTACACGGCACATGTATTTTTTTTTTGCCAAATGATTCACTACTCAACGCGTACAGAGGTGCAGCCGCACCGTTCGGAAATCATTCTGGAACATACCTTTGGGTGGGGAGAGGGGGGAGTACACTGACCCCACACGGGCGCGTCCTATGTCTAAATTGCATGACCTAGGAACGTGTCAAGTCCGGTCACGTAAGTCCAAACTTGCATGAAAAACCCTTGGATGACCTGAACCTTCAAAGGCCACCTCTCTGTTAACACTGCACTTAAGTGGCAAAGAACGTAAGATCATAAAGGAACCTAGCAACCCATTTGGAATGCATTACTTCCAAAGAATAAGCGTTATTTGTCACTTTCGAGCAACATACTACCTCATTTAAATGCCCAATCCTCGTAAGGCGACGGTTACAATACGAGTGGTATAACGTTTGAACGGAGCTCCTAAAGTGAGACGTGAATGTGTTGAATATATTCGTGATATCTTGTGTTCTGCTTCCGTAGTTTTGTGACAGGAGATGTGACGCAGCATCAACTCGTGTGTCCATCCCAGTGCATTGCTGCTTAGGAAGAGTACATCGTGAGTGTTCTGTAACATTTACCGATTCGCTAATCCGTTGTTTTTCCTCACGTGACATCATCCTTCCTGCACAGCAGGACCTAACCGCCAAGTCTTCTTTTTCTTTGGTTGGTCAAGCCGAGCTGTTCCGTTCGTGCCATATCTTTGCTCTCTAGCGTACTCCACAGTACATTACTTATGATATATAGATACATCGCATTGTTTTATATACACTGGATACACGCATAAACGAAACAAAACGAAAGGTCAGCAGCACGCTTCATTCCTTAGTGGACGTTCGCTAATATGACTGGGAGGGAACTCCGTAAGCTTCAGCGGGGTTGTAAGAGGCAGCAGCAGACGTGTAGGAGGGAGCGGGGTTATAGGACCGAGCAGATTTGCAGGAGGGAGCCACATGATGAACACATATACATTTAACTCAATTGTAGACTTTTCCTAATACGAATGGGAAGGAGATCCGTAAGATTGAGCGGGTTCGTAAGAGGGAGCAGCCGGCGTATAAAAGGGAGCGGAGTTGTAAGAACGAGCAGATTTGTAGGAAGGAGCCGGGTGATAAGAGAGAATCGGCTGGTGGGAGCGAGCAGCAGGTCGGTAGGAAGGTGCTGGCTTGGAGGGGACAGGCTGATAAGAGGGAGCGGCAGGAGCGTAGGAGCGGGCTGGGGCGTAGCTGACCCGCTTGGGGTACTGGGCCTCTCCGTCGTAGGTGACCTCGGCGTTGTAGCCGCCGTAGCCCTGGTTGTCAGCCGTGTACTTGACGTGCTGAACCCGGCCGTCGGGCAGGTTGACCGAGTAGTAGCCCTGTACGATTTTGGTATCGCTATTCTCGTTCTGGGAAAACACCGAGCCGCTGTAATGGTCATTGACGGCGTACGCGAACTGGTACGGCTGGGCGTAGTACCGCGGCTCCTGGTACGACGGGGCGTAGGAAGGCGCCCGGCCGTACGACGGAGCCGGGGCGTGGCTTGGCGCCGGAGCAGGAGCGTGGCGTGGGGCTGGTGCCTGGCCGTAGCTTTGGGCCGCAGCCACCGACAGAACAGCGGCGAGAGCAAAGATCTGAAATGATGTAACGTACTGTATAACATGTTCTTTGGCGCTGTAAATGGCGACCGCTGATAACGGTCCACAACTGTGTAAGCAAGCATGTTCCGGTGCGCTGACTTGGCCCCTCAGTTGACCTCACCTTCATGGTGTTCTCAGTGTGATCCGGTGGATAACTGACGCTCTTTTCCCGGCCCGGTGGCCTTATACACCAGCTGTTGTGGAGGGTGGGGTCTCTCGTGCTGCCAATCGCCCTCACAGTCTCATGGTGGGGCTCCCGTGTGTATGTACGTGCAGAATTGGGTGTGCATGTCGTATGCCAAACCTCCGTAATAAAGCAAGTATTTTGTGCAAAGCAGGGGAGTGTGGGGCTCATGGTTATGACTCGTTGCGCTGTAATGCCAGCGAAAAGTATTAGGTGTAAAGTCTTCGTAATTTTCCTCATTGATAATCACCACATACATTAAGTACGATTATCGTCAGCTAGATACAAAATACGATTAGCACCTTGTTTATGTTGTGTGTCGCCGAAACAACCGCTCGGGAACGAGTTAAACTAGTTAAAAAACTATATTTTTCGGTGCGACGTTCCTCGTTTTCGTAATAACATCCGTAACTCGGAGGCTGGTTCCAGAATGTCCGGAAATGGTTTGCTGTATTCAGCCATCACTGCACATGCAAGACAGACTGTGTCGACCATTGCAGTGCGTTGAACTTTCAAATTTATGCTGCTGCCTTGGAATTACACAATCAACTGGTAGGGGTCAAGCCTCACATCAGGTACTGCTTAGCGTGGACTTTGATCCAAGGGACCGATTACTTCAAAAAAGCTTTGATTACTCCTACAAATTGCAATTTTTGTAGGCGGTGTGTTTTCAGTTCCGTAACTAGAAACTAAAAAATGATGAATACATATGCTGATTACTTATGTTGAAAAGTGCAGCCGCCGTAATGTATTCCCTTCATGCATTTGTTCTGATCGTTTTGAAACATTATATGCTAGTAGTTCTGGTGAGCAGGTATATATATATATATATATATATATATATATATATAAGTATGCATCTCATAACAAAAATGTCGTTCAACATTGTGTTGTAGAGATAAATATCCGCATGGAGCTGTGTTTACAGAACGTGCCCCTCTTTTCATGTGGCCCACATAACTTCTTTTGACATGGCACTCAAGGGTGTTTGAACGAATAATCAACTGGACAAGAGCAGCGCTAGCTTAAGTGCTCTGTCTTCTCTCAGGAACGCGCAGGTAAACTGTGAAAGATCTATCACACGGTTAAGGAAAGCGCAGGGAACAAGACGTTTTGGAAAGCTGTTGGAAGGTTACATTATATAGTCACTATTGAACAGTGACTTGGGTCACACGTGAAATGTCGAGATAGATCAACGAAATAAAGGCGATTGTTGGATTGGCCTTTCAATGATTTCAGGAAAAAAACAGCCTTGATCAGTGTAGAGAACAGCATTTGTAATTTTTCCAAAGCTTTAAGACATCTGACTTTAACACGCGCTCTGGTGGCCGGTAAAAAAACCTTCACTCGTATGGGGGTCAATGTGAAATTGCCACTGTGTTTGAAAGCTTAACATAGCTAAGAGACCCCAAACTCTCGGAGGGGAAGGAGTTGGTCTATATTAGAACTCACGCGTTGAAATTGGAGGTTCCTAGGCTATCACCTTGTGGCATGACCGGGATCAAACGAGGGATTAGTGTCCAAGTGTTTCCTGACCTCATGCCACCGCCGTCAACCTACTTCCCTGCTCCAAGCAAAGGGTGGTTGCTGTTTATACAGGACTGTTGCGATCGCTGTCCTTAAAAAGCAAAAATAAGTCCCCGAAACTACCACGCATGACAAGCTCTCGAGAAAAAAAGCAGTTTAGGTTTCATCCCGGCCTCATCTCCATACCTGGCCATAGGTCAATGAAATTTGTTGCAATTATAAGTTCAGTTGGTCTTTTTTCCTATGAAGATATCTGAGAGATGCATTGCTTTGTCTAACACTTCGAAGTTGCATCAGATTAAACCATTCCTCAGAGGTGGCCTTCGCTGACATCCAAGGTCTGAAAGCGACTTCCCATAGGCCATCGACCTGTCAAAGTACATATCATTTGTTACTAAATGACTCATTATTCTGTTGCATACAGACGTTCAGCCGCGCTAGGCGGAAATCCGCTTGGAGAAAAACCCTGAGGACAGACAGGTTGACAGACGGGTTGATTCAACCCGAACCGCTGTTTATGTCTAAAACACATGGCCTTGGAACTTCTCTCATTCGGTCACACATGTTCAAGCATGTCTAAAATAGCCTTTGGATAACCCGAACCTTCAAGTGCCACTAAGTCGATAACAATGCACCTGATTTTTAAGAAATGTTGTAAAGCAGAAAAGGAAGCTAGCAGTCGATTGTAAACCTGCTTCTCGCGAAGACAAAATTATTACTTTGCACAAAATGACACTTTTTTATTTCCATCACTCGTCGTGGGGCGATGATAAGAATTCGCGTGGTGCAAAGTTCGAATGGAACTCCTGGAATGGCGTACGCAAATGTGATTAATACAATTGTGATACGTTAAGTCTTGCCTCCGGCGCTTTGTGATGGGGATGTGACGCAGCATCAGCTCTTATGTCCATCACAGTGCACTTCTGTTTAGGGAGAGCTCAGCGCAAGCGTGTTTTAAATATGCACCTATTCATTCATCCCTTTTTTCTCACGGGCCATCATCCTTACCAGGCGAAGCAAAACCTCACCACTACGGTTTGTTGGCCGGTCCAACCAAGCTGTTAGGCTGGTGCAATATCACTGCACATTAGCGTACGTCACAGTATATTACCTATGATATACGCATACATTGCATTGTTCCATATGCACAGGGTCCACGCATCATCAGAATATACGCATACATTGTATTGTTCCATATGTACAGGGTCCACGCATCATCAGAAAAACGATAGGCTTTAAACACGCTTGAGCTTAAATAAACACACTTAAACACGCTCAGTTCATGAGCACACCTCACTTATCACTGAGTTACCTCTAATACGACTGGGAAGGAGCTCCGTAAGCACCAGCGGGCTCGTAAGAGGGAGCGGGGATGTAAGAACGAGCAGATTTGTAGGAGGAAGCCGGCTGGTAAGAGCGAGCGGCAGGTCGGTAAGAGGGTGCTGGTTCGTGGGAAGGGACAGGATGATAAGAGGGAGCGGCAGGAGCGTAGGAGCGAGCTGGGGCGTAGCTGGCCCGCTCGGGGTACTGGGCCTCGCCGTCGTAGGTGACCTCGGCGTTGTAGCCGCCGTAGCCCTGGTTGTCAGCCGTGTACTTGACGTGCTGGACCCGGCTGTCGGGCAGGTTGACCGAGTAGTAGCCCTGCACGACCTTGGTGTCGCTGTTCTCGTTCTGGGAGAACACCGAGCCGCTGTAATGGTCGTTGACGGCGTACGCGAACTGGTACGGCTGGGCGTAGTACCGCGGTTCCTGGTACGACGTGGCGTAGAAAGGCCCCCGGCCGTATGGCGGAGCCGGGGCGTGGCTTGTCACCGGAGCAGGAGTGTAGCGTGGCGCCGGAGCAGGAGCGTAGCGTGGCGCAGGGGTGTAACTGGGTGCTGGTGCCTGGCCGTAACTTTGGGCCGCAGCCACCGACAGAACAGCGGCAAGAACGAAGATCTGAAATGATGTAACGTACTGTATAACATGTTCTTTGGCGCTGTAAATGGCGACCACTGATAACGGTCCACAACTGTGTAAGCAAGCATGTTCCGATGCACTGCCTTCGCCTCTCAGTTGACCTCACCCTCATGGTTCTCTCAGGGTGATCCGGCGGATGACTGATGCTCTGTTCTCGACCTGGTGGCCTTATATACGAGTCGTTGTGGAGGGCGGGGTCACCCGTGCTATTAATAGCCTTGACATTCCCATGATGAGGCCGCCGGGTGTATGCACATGCAGCACAGGGTGTGCATGTCGTATGCCAGAGCTCCGTAGAGATCAAGAGTTTTGTGCAGAGCATGGGAGTGCGCAACTCATGGTTATCGCTCATTGATGTGTGATGTCAGTGGAAGTTGTTAGCTGCATGGTCTTTGTAATTTCTGCCCATCGATTACCACTACATAAATCGAGGAAGATTATCATCAACTAGGCACAAAATACGATCAACACTTTGTGTTGAATGCTGCCGAAACAACCATTGCGGAGCGAAGGAATGATACATGACGCGTGGATGACGACGGCAGAACACCATGACATTCAGCTAAGTGCTTTGCTCTTCGTGTTTATGTTTTTGTCCGTAATTGCTGAGGGTGGGTCCAGGATCACACGAAATGGTTCCCTATGTTCAGCTAATATTTAACTGGCAAGACGGACCGTGTCGAGCATTGCTGCGCGCTCAGCTTTCACCTCCACAATCTGCTGCTGACGTGGCAGTGCGCGTTTGGATGGTTGGAGTCGAGCCTTACGTCAGGCACTGCTTATCGTGACATTCGATCCCAGGAACCCATCCATGGATACAGTTAAGATTATTATTAAGACTTGCAATCCCCTTTTTTGGAGTCTTTTCGGTGCCGCCAATAGAAGCCAGAAGATGATGAATATGCAAGATGTTTCCCGGTGTTGAAAAGTACACCCGCCGTGATTTCTTCCTTCGATGCATTTGTTGCGCTGGTTTTGAAAAAAATGCGTTGGGATGTCTGATGCACAAGTATATACGTGCCTTATAATGATACGGTCGTCGAACATTCCGCTGTAGAGATAAATATCCGCATGGATATTCATCTCTACAGCAGGAGCTATCTTTGCAGAATGTATACGTCGCTTCATGCTGTCCACATACGCTTCCTTTGATATGACACTCCATGGTGTCTGAATGAATAGTAAGTTGAACAAGAATGATGTTAATTGAATTGATCTGTCTTCTCTCAGGAACACTCAGGTGTATCGTGGAAGATCAGCTGTATGGGAACGAAAAGACTACGGAACAAAGCATTTTGGAAAACTGTTCGAAAATTATACCTTGTAGGTACTGCTGAAGGGTCGTTTAGCTAACATGTGAAATGTCATGTGGGGTCAACGACAGGACTGAAAAAGTGCTTTTTTGTCACCGACGAAATTTGGAGCCGTCTGAATTGTCCCCTGGAGTCAAACCTTTCAGAAAGCGTGGGAATATATATCTAAGTGCAACAAACCACAAAAAGCAAAAACAAATTAAAAGCGATGTGGCATAACAATCGAACATTTTCGTTTCGGGAGTTCATTTGCAAGTTTTTTTTTTTTGCGGGCCATCAACCACTGAACGATGGTTGAGACTAACCTAACAAGATTATCAGAAAAAGGCATACTTAACATAACCAGCCTAAAGGCGTATAGTTTTCTATTTTGTAGGTGGGGTGGGGGGATGGGGTGGCATTGACCTGCTAACCAGGGATGCAGGTTCCTATTGTTGGCTATTGTTTTTATCCATATTCTTCATTTACCATACTTTGGGGGTTGAGCCACCAAAAACGAACTTTGAGAAACTACACTACAAGTATCTTGCGGTCACTGTCTTAAGTAAAATCAGAATAAGCAACCGAAGCTAACTCGTACAGCAGGTTCTGGAGACAAAATCAGATTACTGTTCACCTGGATGTGATCTGCATACCTGACCATAGGGCAATGGAATTTGTTGTAATTATAAATTGAATTGGTTTATTGCTTATAAGAACACATCAGGTGGTGATGAAACAATGGTGATTAGCCTGTCAAGGTACATGCAATTTTTTAACAAAATGATTCACTTCTGAATTGTATACAGACGTGCATCCACACCGTTCGGAAATCAGTGTGTAAAATTACCTGGACAGGGGGTGGGGAGTGCGGGTTCAGATTGATTCAACCGAACGTGTGTTTATGTCTAAGTCATTGAGACGTGTCAAATCCGGTCACGTAAGTCCAAACTTGGCTAATCTAGCCCTTGGATGGCCTGAGCGTTCAAAAGCCACCACTACGTTAACAATGCACTTGAATGGTAGAGTGGCATTCATGAGAAAAAGGACTCTAGCAGCTGATTTGGAATTCTTTTGTTTCGAGAAATTAAAGTCATCCATTACTCGAGCAAAATGGCACCTCTTTTAACCACGCTCGGGTGGGGGTCAACTTGACCACCCCCGAGAGTTTTCTGCAGTGATTTCCGAACGGGGCGGCATAGCCATGCCAAATTTTGCATAGCTATAGGCATTTGAACAGCGGATCGCTTGGTATCAGAAAATTAGATGCACTTTGTAAGGTTGCGGACCTATGGCAGGTCGAATCAGGCCATGGATTTGGCGAAGTCAGTTTCTAGGGAATCGTTTAATCTAATGGTGCAACGGAATGTTCGACGAAGCCATGCATCTCTGACACACTTTCTTAGGCAGCAGAACACTTCATTGATCAAATTCTATTGAGCTATGGTCAGGTATGAAGGTCAGACCGAGATCAGAAAAAAGCTGCTGTATTACTTTAGGGATTGCGTTATGGGATAGTTTCTGGTGCTCATTTCGGGTTTACTGATAAGAGACACCGCATTAGACATCTTGCATGGACTTCTTAAGGCGCATAATAGGTTGCTGACCTAAAATGACCCTGGTCAACGTTTCGTTTTTAAGGACATACTGCCTAGCGTAATCTTTGTCGCTTATTCAAATGCAAAACTCTAGGCAGTCTTGCATTACTTTGGTCACCATGACCTTGAAAGGTCAAAGAAGGTCACCGACTTAAAATGAGCATGTGACGTTTTGCTCACAATATGATCTATGTTTTGGGGACCCTTTGGGGGCAGACTTGGAGTTTGACAATTTTTGCCCTTATTTGACCCGATGGTCACGACCCCCTCTCTTTGCCCTAAGTGAGTTCACATGCAGTTCAACATACGCTGTGAATTTGGTGTCTCGAGATCTCTTAGTCCCTGAGATCTCAGGGGAGGGGGTCTTAAATCAACCCCCACCCGAGTGAGGGGTATTCAACCGACCACCCGGGCGCGTGGTAAATTTCCCACTCCTTGTAAGGCTATGATTAGAATTCGAGTGGTGCAAGGTTCAAACGGAACTCCCGGAGTGACGTACATGAATGTGATCATTACACCCGTGATGTATTGTGTTTTGCATCCGTAGCTTTGTAATAAGGGAGGTGACGCAGCCTCAACTCGTGTGTCCATCACAGTGCACTGCTGTTTAGGGAGAGTTCTGCAAACGTGCACCCAAGTGTTCTGAAAACGTGCACCTCTTTGCTAATCCTTTGTTTTTTTTCCTCACGTCCCATCATCCTTCCTGCGAAGCCAGACCTGACCATTCCAGTTTGTTGGTCGGTCGAGCTGGCTTGTTTCGTTTGTGTGATAACTTTGCACAGTAGCGTACGTCACAGTATATTACATCTGACGACTGCATTCATAGCATTGTTTTATATATAGGATGCACGCAACAACAGGAAAACAGTATCCTATACGCACGCTTGATTCCTGAATGGGCGCTCGCTAATACGACTGCAGAGAAGCTCCGTGTGACTCAGCGGACTTGTAAGAGTGAGCAGCAGGCGTGTAGGAGGGAGTGGGGCTGTAGGAGCGAGCAGGTTTGTAGGGGGAGGCTGGCTGATAGGAGCGAACCGGCTGATAAGAGCGAGCAGCAGGTTGGTAATAGGGAGCAGCAGGTCGGTAAGAGGGAGCTGGTTCGTAGGAGCGAACAGCCTTGTAAGAGGGAGCGGCAGGAGCGTAGGAGCGGGCTGGGACGTAACTGGCCCGCTTAGGGTACTGGGCCTCCCCGTCGTAGGTGACCTGGGCGTTGTAGCCGCCGTAGCCCTGGTTGTCAGCCGTGTACTTGACGTGCTGAACCCGGCCGTCGGGCAGGTTGACTGAGTAGTAACCCTGTACAACCTTGGTGTCGCTGTTCTCGTTCTGGGAGAACACTGATCCGCTGTAATGGTCGTTGACGGCGTACGCAAACTGGTACGGCTGGGCGTAGTACCGCGGCTCCTGATACGACGATGCGTAGGAAGGTGCCCGGCCGTGCGACGGAGCCGGGGCGTGGCTTGGCGCCGGAGCAGGAGCGTAGCGGAGTGCCTTAGCAGAGGCGTAGCGGGGTGCGGGTGCCTGGCTGTAGCTTTGGGCTGCAGCCACCGACAGAACAGCTGCGAGGACGAAGATCTGAAATGACGCGACGCACTGTTAGACTTTTTTGGCGCTTTAAACGACACCACTGATAACGGCCCACAAGTGGTGTAAACAAGCTTGTTGTGCACTGACTTGGCCTCTCAGTTGACCTCACCTTCATAGTGCTCTAAGTGTGATCCGGTGAATGACTGGTGCTCTGATCTCGGCCCGGTGGCCTTACATACTAGCAGTTGTGGAGGGCGGTGTCGCTCGTGCTGCCAATGACCCTCACATTCCCATGACTGGGCTGTCGTGTGTATGTACATGCAGAGCTGAGTGCGCAGGTCGTATGCAAGAGTTCCGTAATAAAAAACTTTTTTGCGCAAAGTATGGGAGTGTGGTACTCATGGTTATCACTCATTGAAGTGGGATGCCGGTGAAAAATATAGGCCGTATAGTCTGTGTAATTTTGTTCCCATTAATAATTACTACATAAAGCAAATTAGATTATCATCAACTCAATGCAAAATACGATTAACACTTTGTTTATGTTGGGTGTTTTCGAAACAACCGTTTGAAAGCTAGTTGAAACTATTAGAACAACTGTATTTTTAGTGGCACACTCTTCAGTTTCCATAATATCCGTAACTATGGAGGCCGGTTCCAGAATGTCCCAAAATGATCTGCTGTATTCAGCCATCACTTCACATGCAAGGCGGACCGTGCCGATCATTGCAGTGAGTTGAACTTTCCAGATTATGCTGCTGGCCTGAAATTGCAGGATTAACTGGTAGGAGTCCAGCATCACACGAGGCACTGTTTGGGCTGGACTTTGAAGCAAGGAACCCATTCGTTCAGAAAATTTTGACTAATCTGACAGATTTCCATGTTCGTATTCAGTGTGTTTTCAGGCTCGTCAGTATAAACTAGAAGGTGATGAATATAAATGATGAGCCCTGATGTTGAAAAGTGCACCCACCGTAATTTGTTCCTCTCATGCATTTGTTCTCATCGTTTTGAAACATTATGCGTTAGTGTGGGACAAAACAAAAAAAGGAATGAGAGAGAGAGAGAGAGAGAGAGAGAGAGAGAGAGAGGAGAGAGAGAGAGAGGAGAGAGGAGAGAGAGGAAGAGAGAGGAGAGAGAGAGAGAGAGAGAGAGAGAGGAGAGAGAGGGAGAAGAGAGAGAGAGAGATGCAGGGCCAGAGGGGGGGATATATATATATATATATATATATATATATATATAGCTATAAGTATATATATGCATATATACATATATATATATATATATATAGATATATATATCGATCTTAGAGTTCTGCCTCTTCTTTTCCTCTAGTATCTATATCTCCTCTCTTCTATCTCTCTCTATCTCTATCGATCTAGACATCCTCTATACCTATATATACATATATATATATATATATATATATATATATATATATATATATAAGAAGCGCATGTGGACCGTATACAGGAAAGGACAGATTCCGTTAACACAATTTCATGCGAACACTTATCGTAATATATATATATATATATATATATATATATATATAGATATATATATATATATATATATATATATATATATATATATATTTGCGATATGTATATATTTGCGATAAGTATTCGCATGAAGTTGTGTTTACGGAATCTGTCCCTTTCTGTATACGATCCACATGCGCTTCTTTTCATATGACGCTCAAAGGTGTCTAACTGAATGATCAACCGGACAAGAACAGCGTTACTTAAAGTGCCTTGCCTTCTCTCAGGAACACTCAGATAAACTGTGAACGAGCTGTCGCATGGTAACGGAAAACGCAGGGAACAAGGCATTTAGGAAAGCTATCGGAAGATTACATTAAATAGTCACTATTGAACAGTGACTTTGGTCGACGGGTAAAGGCGAATATTGAATTAGCCTTTCCCTCAGTTCAAGAACCAAAAAACTTAATCATTGAGGAGATCAGCGTATGAAAGCTTTCCAAAGCCTTAAGGCACTGGCAATTAACGCGTCCGGTGTTGGGTCATTAACGCCCGGCGAAATACCCTTCACCCGTGTTGGAGTCAATTTGGCATCCCCACCGGGTTTCAAAGGTTATATAGCTAAGACACAACAAATTCACAGAGGGAAGGAGTTGGTCTGTATTAGAGCTCACTTGCGTCGAAATTTAGCGTTCCTAGGCAATCACCTTGGGGCATGACCAAGGTCAAATTCCGGATTAATGCCTAAGTGTTTCCTCACCTCCTCATGCAACCGCCATCAACTTACCTTTCTGCTCTACTCAAAACGTGAATGCTGTTCATATAGGACCAGTGACCTTGTTTGACATTTGTAGGGACAAGGTGGTCCAGCACCTACGATATTCCTGCATTTTTTTTAAGTTAAATCAGCGTCAGGAACTACGCTAGACGGTATGTCACTTAACACAAAATGTTACCTGAGTCATTTTTGGTCTATGCCGTGCTATAACCTTTAACATGTTCATGGAACGTGCCTGTTGCGGTCACTGCCATTTGATAATTCAAGATAAGCACCCGAAACTACCACGCAAAGCAGGCCCGCGAGAACAAAAACAGGTTAGTTTTCAAATCGGTCTCATCTTCATACCTGACCATAAGTCAATGGAATTTTTTGTGATTTTGAAATCAGTTGTTTTTTTGCTTATGAATTTATCTCAGAGATGTATGGGTTTGTCTAACACTCTGCTGTTACATCCGCTTAAATAATTGCCTAGAAATGGCCTTCGCTGACAGCCACGGCCTGAATCTGACTCCTCATAGATCATCGACCTGTCAAGGTACATGTAAATTTTTAACAACATGATTCACTATTGAATTTATACAGATGTGTAACCACACCGCACGGAAATCAGGTTGTAAAATTACCTGGACAGGGCGGGGGGAGGGGGGGGGGGTCAGATTGATTCAACCGAACGTGTGTTTATGTCTAAGTTATTCAAACGTGTCAAGTCCGGTCACGTAAGTCCAAGCTTGGCTAATTTAGCCCTTGGATGGCCTCAGCCTTAAAATGCCACCACTGTGTTAAAAATGCTCTTGTGCCAAAAAAATGCCATGGTAGAGTGGCATTCATGAGAAAAAGGAATCTAGCAGCCGATTTATAATTATTTGCTTTCCAAGCATAAAAGTTATCTATCACTGGAGCAAAATGGCACCTCTTTTAACCACGCTCGGGTGGGAGTCAACTTAACCGCCCTCGAGAGTTTTCTGCAGTGATTTCCGAACGGGACGGCATAGCCATGCCAAATTTTGCAGAGCTGTAGACATTTGAATAGCGGATCTCTTGGTATCAGAAAATTAGATGCACTTTGTAAGGTTGCGGACCTATGGCAGGTCGAATCAGGCCATGGATTTGGCGAAGTCAGTTTCTAGGGAATCGTTTAATCTAATGGTACAACGGAGTGTTGGGCGAAGCCATACATCTCTGAGATACTTTCTTAGGCAGCAGAACACTTCATTGATCAAATTACATTGAGCTATGGTCAGGTATGAAGGTCCGACAGAGATCAGAAAAACTGTTGTATTACTTAAGCGATTGCCTCATGGGTCTCATTTCGAGTTTACTGATAAGAGACACCGCATAAGGCATCTTGCATGGACTTCTTAAGGTGCATGACAGTTCCTGACTTAAAATGATCCTGGTCAACATTTCGTTTTTAAGAACATACTGCCTAGGGTAATCTATGTCGATTATTCAAATGCAAAACTCCAGGCAGTCTTGCATTATTTTGGTCACCGTGACCTTGGAAGGTCAAACAAGGTCACTGACTTAAAATGAGCATGTGACGTTTTGCTCACAACATGATCTATGTTTTGCGGACCCTTTGGAGGCAGACTTGGAGTTTGACAATTTTTGCCCTTATCTGCCCCGATGGTCACGACCCTCTCACTTTGCCCTAAGTGAGTTCACATGCAGTTCAACATACCCTGTGCATTTTGTGTCTCGAGCTCTCTTAGTTCCTGAGATCTCAGGGGAGGGGTTAGTGCCCCACTCCTCGTAAGGCCATAATTAGAGTTCGAGTGGTGCAAAGTTCAAACGAAACTTCTAGAATGAGGTACGTAAATGTAAGAATACACCCGTAATGTATTGTGTTTTGTTTCTGTAGCTTTGTGATAAGGGAGGTGATGCAGTATCAACTCGCATGGTCATCACAGTGCACTGCTGTTTAGGGAGGGTTCTGAAAACGTGCACCCAGGTGTTCTGAAAATGTGCCCCTATTTGTTAATCCGTTGCTTTTTTCTCACGTCCCATCATCCTTCCTGCGAAGCATGACCTGACCACCCCAGTTTGTTGGTCTGTAGAGCTGGCCTGTTTCGTTTGTGTGGTAACTTTGCACAATGGCGTACGCCACAGTATATTACATATGATAAATGCATGCATAACATTGTTTTATATGCATAGGATGACGGGACATCAGGAAAACAGTAACCTATACGCACGCTTGATTCCTGAATGGGCGCTCGCTAATACGACTGGAAAGAAGCTCCGTATGCTTCAGCGGACTTGTAAGAGGGAGCAACAGGCGTGTAGGTGAGAGCGGGGCTGTATGAACGAGCAGGTTTGTAGGAGGAAGCTGGCTGATAGAAGCAAACCGGCTGATAGGAGCGAGCAGCAGGTTGGTAATAGGGAGCAGCAGGTCGGTAAGAGGGAGCTGGCTTGTAATATTGGACAGAGTTGTAAGAGGGAGCAACAGGAGCGTAGGAGCGGGCTGGGGCGTAGCTGGCCTGCTCGAGGTACTGGGCCTCCCCGTCGTAGGTGGCCCCGGCGTTGTAGCCGCTGTAGCCTTGGTTTTCAGCCTTGTAATTGACGTGCTGCACACGGCCATCGAGCAGGTTGACTGAATAGTAGCCCTGTACAACCTTGGTATCGCTGTTCTCGTTCTGTGAGAACACTGAGCCGCTGTAATGGTCGTTGACGGCGTACGCGAACTGGTACGGCTGGGTGTAGGACCCCGGCGTGGCGCTGGAAATGGCGACCACTGATAATGTCCGCAACTGGCATGGACAAGCACGCTGCGTTGCGCTGACTTGGCCTCTCAGTTTACCTCATCTCCATGGTGCTCTTAGGATGATGCGAGGGATGACTGACGCTCTGTTTCCGACCCGGTGGCCTTATATACGAGCGGTTGTGGAGAGTGGGGTCTCCATGCTACAAATAGCCCTCACATTCCCATGGTGGGGCTGCCGTGTGTATGCACATGCAGAGCTGGATGTGCATATCGTATGCCAGAGCTCCATGGAGACCAAATGTTTTGTGCAAAGCATGGGAGTGTAGGAATCATGGTTATCACTCTTTGCTGCGTGATGCCAGTGGGAAACGTTGGGTGTAAGGTTTTTGTAAATTTCCCATCGATAATCACTGCATGAATCAAGGAAGATTATCATGAACTTGGTACACAATACGATGAACACTGTTTATATTGAGTGTTGCTGAAACAACAGCTCGGAGCGAAGGGATGGTATTCAACGCGTGGACGACGAGGGCAGAACCATTACATTCACGTAAATGCTACGCTTTTTTGTTTATGACAACATCCGTATTTGCTGAGGTTGTGTCTAGATTGGCCCGAAATGGTTCCCTATGTTCAGCCAATACTTAGTGGTGTAGTGCGCCACTAGTGCTCGCGCCTGGGCGCGCCTCTGCTGCCGACCGCCGGAGGCGTCGGCCGACCGGCCGCCGCGGTCACCGGTCACCGGTCACCAGGACGCCTGTCGACTGATGCCGGTGAGAGCGCGCGTGTATCACACTGGTGGCGGCGAGTGGGGGCGTGCCAAATGGAGTCGAGGGAGAAATTGGCGTGGGGTGATGGGGAAGAGCTGGAACACTTCTCGCGACGGTTGGATGCCTGTCGGCTGGCGGCGGGGGACGAGAAGAAACCGATGGGGAAGGCGCTTCTTGGCCTCGGTTCGCAGATTGCGGTGATGGATGCGCTGTCGGAAGAGGACACAAGGGATATTCGGAGCCTGAAGTCGGCGCTGCGTCGGGAGCTCGGTCCGTCCCAGAGCTGGTATCAGGACCGGCTCAGCCAGCGACGTAAGCAACCCTCCGAGACATACGGTATGTTTCTTTCCGATTTACTCTCTTTGTTTCGTGGTGCGTTTCGTGGTGCGTTTTCGTGGCTCGGCCTGACACGTCTGTTGGAGCCGCTCTCTTGAGGAGTCGGTTCTTGGATGGCATCTCGTCAGATGTTGCGGCACAGTTACGTCTGTTGTATCCCAGCATTGACTTTGATAAGACGCCGATACATGTAAACCAAATTGGGGAGGCTGTCCATCGTTCGCCGGCTAGAGTCAGTCAAATTGTGGAGGGGTCTGCGATGGAAGGAGGGAGAAGGGAGCGGTAGCGGTTCCGGGACGAGGTAGCCGAGCTCTCTCATGCCGTGTTTGAGATCCGCGCGGCGGCTGGGCCGGTCGGCCGGCCGGCTGGCGCTATCGCCGGGGGCGGCATGACGTCATTCGGGGCCGGGCGGGTCAGCCAGCGGTCGGCTCAGCGGGGCGGGGGGCCGCCACGTGACCCAGCCAAGGTCAGCTGGGCGGGCGGCCCACAGGGGCGTGCACAGGGGGAGGGAGGGCAGCGGTGCGGCAGGGCCGGGCTGTCCGGCGCCCGGGTCGGGCCGGTCTGGTTGCCGGGGCAGACAAATGCGATGCTGGACATATGGTTTTCTGGCCGCCGGCGGGTAGGGTGTACTCAGGCTTCATTGGGTTGCGGCCGGGGGCGACCGGCTCTCGTTGTCTGCTGGTGTTGAGTTTGGGCACACACAGCGTGATTATCATCAGGCTTTAAACTGAGGAGGGTTACTACCGCGGGACCGGTGGTAACCGGACCCGAGGTCAAAGGTCCCCACAATTCGCAGGTGCGTTCGCTTCATGTGCGTGGTCGCATTCCGAAAGTGGACTGTACGTGGTTGGTTGATACGGAAGCAATAGTTAAGCAATAGTTTCGTGCGTTAAACAGCAAGACGATGGACGAGGTCTGCTACCTTCCATTTGTCAAGGAATGCCTGGATGGCTTGGCCGGGTCCAGGCTGTTTACCACGCTGGACCTGAACTCGGCTTATTGGCAGGTCCCTGTGGCCCCGAAAGACCAGAGAAAAACGTTATTTACAACAAAGGACGGGAAATGGGAATTCCGGGTGATGCCATGTGGGGCTAAGGGGGCGCCTGGAAGTTTTTTCTCGCCTAATAGCAGAGGTATTGCGGGGCCTGATTGGAAACGGGGCTACTGCATATCTCGATGATATCATTGTCAGTGGAAAAGCTGAAGAGGAGCACCTGTACCTGTTGCAAACTGTGTTGGAAAGACTGAGGTGTGCTGGTTTGACTGTAAAGAGCAAGAAAGTGGTGCCCTGCAGGCGGCGGATAAGGTTTCTTGAGCACGTTGTGTCATCTTCAGGTCTCAAGCCAGGTGCAGAAAAGGTTGAGGTTATCAAGAGTTGGCCGCGACCACAGACAACCAAACAGTTGAAGCAATTTCTTGGGTTTTGCGATTACTACAATGATTTCATGCCACACATCCAGGTTGTGGCGGCTCCGCTGTATAAAATCTCTGGAAAGACCAAGTTCCAGTGGGATGAACAGAAAAAGGCTTTTCCAGGACTAAGACAGGCCCTCGGCACGTTCACGCTCTTGCATTTACCAGACATGCGGCAAAAATTTGAGGTTAGCACGGATGCATCGGATTCTGGTTTGGGCTGTGCTCTATCACGGAGGGACCAATCAGGGGTCGACAGGCCGGTAAGTTTTGCCTCGAAGGCTTTTTCAGAAAGTGAAAAGAATTGGCACATTCGAGATAAGGAGGTGTTTGCTTTTGCTTTTGCTTTGAGGAAATTCAGACCGTACCTGCTTGGAGTGCGTTTCAAGTGGTTCACTGACCACTGCGAGCTTCAATGGTTACGCAACACCAAAGATCCGAGAAGGCGGTACGCACGCTGGATTGAAGAGATTAAGGAGCTCAATTTTTCCATACATTTCCGTCGCGCCGAGAAAACCATCCATGTTTCCTGGGGTTGGGTTTGGATTGGCCCGAAATGGTCTCCAATTTTCAGCCAATACTTCACTGGCAGAACGGACCGTACTGAGCATTGCTGTGAGCTAAACTTTCGCCTCCAAATTCTGCAGCCTACATGACATTACAAGATAAGATTTTAGGGGCTAAGCCTCACACCGGGCACTGCTTCGCGTGGACTTTGATCCCTGGAACCAATCAATTTAAGATATTAATGTTAATCTTAAGGCATGCAATCTTTGTTTTTAGTGCCTTTTCAGTACAGCCAATAGAAGCTAGATGATTGATATGTTAGATGTTACCGGATGTTTAAAAGTACGCCCGCCGTAATTTATTCATTCGATACATTTGCCCTCCTGTTTTTGAAAAGTGATGCGTTGGCATGTCTGATGCGCAGGTATATGCATATCTTATACTTAAAATGTCGTTGAACATCTTAATGTTTGCAGAATGTGTCGGTACCTTTTTGTGGTTCACGTACGCTTTTTTGCTATTGCACTCAATGGTACTTGAATTAAAAATCGACTGGACAAGAATGGTGTGAATTGAAATGCCTTCTTTTCGCTTAAGAGCATTCAGGTATATTGTAAAGCATTCATCGCATGATAACGGAAAGGACAGGGAACAAGACATATTGGAAAGCTATTGGAAAGTTATGCTATGTTGTTAATGTTAAACGGTGACTTAGGTAACAGATGAAATGTCATGTGAGGTTAACGCGTTTGAGAGCATTGTTGAAGTGGCCTTCCTGTTATTGAAAGAACCAACCAAACTGCATTTGGCTGGTTCCTAAGTTTCCTAAGCATTGAGATATGTGTCATTACCACGCGCCCTGGTGGTCTGTTGAATATCCTTCGCTCATGTGGGGGTCAATTTGACATCCTCACTGGGTATCAAATCTTAAGATAGCTAGAGACACCAAATTCACAGCGGAGAAGGGGTTGGTCTGTATTCACTTGCGTCGAAATTTAAGGTTCCTATGTTATTACCTTGAGACTTGACTAAGGCCAGACTCCAGATAAGTGTTCAAGTGCTCCCAGACGGCCTCATGCAGCCGCCGTGAACGTACCTTCCGCTCTAAGCAAAAGGTGAATGGTGTTTATGCAAGACCAATGAGCTCATTTGACGTTTGTGGCGTTAAGGTGGTCCAAAACCTACCATGTTACTGCTAGTCTTCCATTCAAATTAGCGTCAGGGTTAACAAGGCGTTATGTTCCTAAAAACAAAATGTTCACCTGGGTCATTTTAGGTCAGCGCCGTACTCTGATCTTTAACATATTCTCAAGTAACATATCTATTGTCGGCACTGTTGTTAAAAAATTCGAAATCGGCACCCGAAGCTACCACCTGAGGCAGGCTCTCCTGCAAATATCAGGTAAGTTATCACCTCGTCCTGATCTTCATATCTGACCATAGGTCAACTAAATTCCTTATGACTGAAATCAGTTTGGAGAAAAACTTGGCTGGGCGAGGGGGCAGATTGACTAAGTCCAAAACGCTCGTTTATGTGTAAATCGTATGACCTTGGAACGTGTCACACTCAGGTCAGACACGTCCAGGATTGGCTAAAATAGTTCTTGCATGACCCGAACCTTCAGAGTCCACCACTACGTTAACGATGCACTTGATGCTAATAGCTAATGGCATAGATGAGGAAAACACCCCAGCAAACGATTTTAAATCCATTTCTTGCGAAGAATTTCAGTTATTTATCACTTTGGAGCAAAATGACACTTTATTTAAATGCCCCACTCCTCGTAGGGCACTTATTAGAATTCGAGTGGCGTAAAGTTCGAACAGCACTCCTGGAATGACGTGCGTGAATATGATCAATACACTCGTGATGTGTTGTGTTTTGCTTTCGTGACATTCCGATAAGGAAGGTGACGCAGCACAACTCGCATGCCCATCAGAGTGCATTGCTGTTTAGGAAGACTTCAGTATTAGTGTTCTGCAAACGCGCACCTATTCGTTAATCCGTTTTTTCCTCACGCGTCATCCTTCGTGCGAAGCACAACTTGACCACTCCGGTTTGTTGGTCGGTGAACCGAGTTTTTCTGTTGGTGTGACATCTTTCCTCAGCAGCGTACGTCACAGGATATTTCTTATGATGAATGCATGCATTGCATTGCTCGCTATTTTTACGACGCAGGCATAATCAGAAAAAACAAAAAGTTATAAGCATGCTTGATTCTTAAGTGGGAGCTCCCTAATACGACTGGGAAGGAGCTCCGTAAACTCCTGCGGGCTTGTAAGAGAGAGCAGCAGACGTGTATGAGGGAGCGGGGCTGTAGGAACGAGCAGGTTTGTAGGAGGAGAGAGAAGGATGAAAGGAACGAACCGGTTGGTAAGAGCGAACAACAGGTCGAAAGGTGGGAGCTGGTTTGTACGAGGGGGCAGGCTGATAAGAGGGAGCGGCAGGAGCGTAGGAGCGGGCTGGGGCGTAGCCGGCCCGCTCGGGGTACTGGGCCTCCCCGTCGTAGGTGATCTCGGCGTTGTAGCCGCCGTAGCCCTCGTTGTCTGCCGTGTACTTGACGTGCTGAACCCGACCGCCGGGCAGGTTGACCGAGTAGTAGCACTGTACGACCTTCGTGCCGCTTTTCTCATTCTGTGAGAACACTGAGCCGCTGTAATGGTCGTTGACGGCGTACGCGAACTGGTACGGCTGGGCGTAGTACCGCGGCCCCTGGTACGACGAGGCGTAGGAAGGCCCCCGGCCGTACGACGGAGCCGGGGTGTGGCTTGGGGTCGGAGCAGGAGCGTTGCGTGGCGCTGGAGCGTAACTCGGTGCTGGTGCCTTGCCGTAACTTTGGGCCGCGGCCAGCGAAAGGACAGTGGCAAAAGCGAAAATCACATGTTCTTTGGCGCTGTAAATGGCGACCACTGAGAATGGACTGCAACTGACATAAATGGGTATGGTACGGTGCACTGACTTGACTTCTCAGTTGACCTCACCTCCGTGGTGCTCTCAGTGTGATTCGGTAGATAATTGATGCTCTGTTCCCGACCCGATGGCCTTATATACGAGCCGTTTTGGACGGTGGGGTTGCCCGTCTTACTAACCGCCCTCACATTCTCATGGTAGGACCGCTATGTGTAGGTACATGCATAGCTGGGTGTGCAAGTCGTATGCCAGAGCTCTGTAGAAACCAAGTCGTTTTTGAAACGCATGGGACTGTGAAACTCATGGTCACCAGTCATTGATGTGTGATGCAAGTGGAAAATGTTAGTTGTAGGGTTAGTTAGTTAGTTATAGTTGTAAATCACTACATAAATAAAGACTATCATCAACTACATACGAAAGACGATTAACACTTTGTTTATGTTTGGCGTTGCCAAACAAAACATTTCGGGAGCGAGGGAAACTATAAAAACTTAAGGTTTGATGTCACGTTCTTCGTGCCCATAATGAGGTCTGCAAACACAGAGGCTGGTTCCAGAATGTTCTAAAATAGTTTCCTGCAGTCAGCTATCATTTCATCGGGGCATGACCGGCTCTGCCAATTATTGCGGCGCGTTGAGCTTTCGCCTACAGGTTATGCTGCTGAACTGGAACTGCACGATCGAATGGTAGGTGTCCAGCCTCCCACCAGGCACTGTGTCACGTGGATTTTGATCTCAGGAACCAATCCATTCAAAAAAGGTTGGATTACTCATAAGCATTGTAATTTTCGTTTTCACTGCATTTTCGGTGCCGTCAATAGAAACTAGATGATAAAGAATATGTGATATGTTTTCTGATGTTGAAAAGTAAATCCGCCGTAAATTGTTCCTTTCATACATTTGTATCCCGTTTTGAAAATTAGGTGTTAGAACGTCTGATGAACAGGTATGCATGTTATATATATATATTATATATATATATATATATATATATATATATATATATATATATATATATATATATATATATATGTGTGTGTGTGTGTGTGTGTGTGTGTGTCTGTGTGTGTGTGTGTGCGTGTCTATGTGCGTGTGTGTATCTATACACAATTATATATATATATATATATATATATATATATATATATATATGTGCATATATAACTTAATATACATTGTTACGTTGGGCGGGCTCGATTTAAACTCTCGTAGACCAAAGGGGTGAAGTAGGATGCCAGTGAAAAGTATTAGGTGTATAGTCTTAGTAATTTTTGCCCATTGATGATCACCACTTACCTTAAGTAAGATTATCGTCAGCTAGATACAAAATACGATTAGCACTTTGTTTATGTTGTGTATCGCCGAAACAAACGTTCGGGAGCGAGTTAAACTAGTAAAAAGACAACAACTGTATTTTTCGGTGCCACGCTCCTCGTTTTCATAATTACATCCGTGGCTCGGAGAATGTCCCGGAATGGTTTGCTGTATTCAGCCATCACTTCTCATGCAATACAGACTGTGCCGTTCATTACGGTGCGTTAAACTTTCCAATTTATGCTTCTGCCTTGGAATTTCACAATCAACTGGCAGGGGTCGAGCCTGACACCAGGCACTGCTTAGAGGGGACTTTGATCCAAGGAATCCATTCCTTCAAACACAAATTTGATTACTCTTACAGATTGCGATTTTCGTAGTCAGTGTCTTTTCAGTTCCGTCAATAGAAGCTAAAAGATGATGAACACATATGCTGATTCCCTATGTTGAAAAGTGCATCCGCCGTAATTTATTCCTTTCACGCATTTGTTTTGATCGTTTTGAAACATTATATGCTAGTAATTCTGATGAACAGGTGTGTATATATATATATATATATATATATATATATATGCGTATAATTTTGCATGCATACATAGGTCTGAGTACATGTATACACACACACACACACACACACACACACACACACACATATATATATATATATATATATATATATATATATATATATATATGTGCACTACATAACACTAATGTTGTTGAACATTGTGTTGTAGAGATAAATATCCGCATGGAGCTGTGTTTACAGAATGTGTCCCTCTCTTCATGTGGCCCACATACGCTTCTTTTCATCTGACACTCAAGGGTGTCTGGACGAATAATCAAATGGAGAAGAGCAGTGTTAGCTTAAGTGCTCTGTCTTCTCTCAGGAACGCTAAGGTAAACTGTGAGAGATCTATCGCATGGTAAAGGAAAGCGCAGGGAACAAGACAGTTTGGAAAGCTGTTGGAAGCTTACATTATGTAGTCACTAATAAACAGTGGATTAGGTCATATGTGAAATGTCAAGATAGGTCAACGGCATAAGGGCGATTGTTGAATTGGCCTTTGCATTATTTCAAGAACAAAGCAACCTCAATCAGTGTGGAGAACAGCGTTTGAAATTTTTCCAAAGCCTCAAGACATTTGACTTTAACACGCGCTGGTGGCCGGTAAAAAACGCTTCACTCGTATCGGGGTCAAGTTGAAATCCCCACTGTGTATGAAAGCTTGGCATAGCTAAGGGACACCATATCCAGGGAGAGGAAGGAGTTGGTCTATATTAGCACTCACTTGCGTCGAAATTTGTGGTTCATAGGCTGTCACTTTGTGGCATGACCGGGATCAAACGAGGGATTAGTGTCCAAGTGTTTCCTGACCTCCTCATGGAACCGCCGTCAAGCAATCTTCCTGCTCTAAACAAAAGGTGATTGTTGTTTATATAAGACCAGTGACCTGGTTTGAAGTTTGTGGGGTCAAGGTGATCCAAGGCCAACGACATTCCTCCTATTTCTCCATTTAAGTCAGTGTCAGGAGTTATGCTAGGCGGTATGTTACTCAACACAAAGTGTTGACATGGGTCATTGTAGGGCAGTGCATACTATGACCTTTAACATGTCCATAGCTAGGGACATCAAATTCACAGAGGAGAAGAGGTTGTACTGTATAATTATTCAATTGTGCCCAAATTTAGGGTTTCAAGGTTATCACATTGGGGCATGACCAAGGTCAAACTCCGGATTATTGTCCAAGTGCTCCCAGACCTCCTCATGCAGCCGCCGTGAACGTACCTTCCTGCTCTAAGCAAGGGGCGAAAAGTGTTCAGATAAGGCGAGTAAGCTTGCTTGACGTTTGTAGCATCAAGGTGGTCCAGAACCTACCATATTGCTAGCATTCTTCCATTCAAATTAGCGTCAGGGATGAGCACAGGTGGTATGTTTCTAAAAAACAGAATGTTCACCTGGGTCATTTCAGGGCAGCGCCTTACTCTGTACTTATACATCTCCATGTTACATGTCTCTTGCGGTCACTGTCATTAGTAAAATCAGAATAAGCACCCGAAACTAGCTCGTAAATCAGGCTTTGGAGACAAACTCAGGCTAGTGTTCACCTCGATGTGATCTGCATACCTGACCATAGGTCAATGGAATTTGTTGTAATTACAAATTCAATTGGTTTGTTGCCTATGAAAACATCTCAGAGATGCATGGCTTCGTCTAACACTCCGCTGCTGCATCAGATTAAACGATTCCCTAATATTTGTCTTTCGCTGACAGTCACGGGCTGAATCTGACTCCTCACAGGTCATCGGGCTGTCATGGTACATGTAATTTTTTACCGCATTATTTTTTACAACTAGTTTTTACCAAACGAACCTAACTTCCCATAGGTCGTCAACCTTACAAGTACAGACAATTTTCACCGACTGATTCATTCTTCAATTGCATATAGATGTGTAGCCACGCTGTACGGAAATCAGGCTGGAGAAAAATCTTGACGGGGAGGGTGGAGGGGGCAGATTGACTCAACTCCAACTTATGTTTATGTCTAAATCGTATGAGCTTGGACCGTGTCACATCCCGTTACACAAGTCCAAGCTTGCCTAAAATAGTCTGTGGATGACATAAGCCTTCGACAGCCACCACTACGTTAATACTGCACTTGAATGGTAAAGAATGCAATATATAATGAAAAGAATCTAACAGCCGATTTGGAATCAGTTTCTTGCGAAAAATAAAAGTTGTCTATCACTTTCGAGCTTAATGGTGCCTCACTGAAATGCTCCACTTCTGACAGGGCGGTGATTAGAATTCGAGTGGCGCAAGTTTCGAACGGAACTCCTGGAATGACATACGTGAATGTGATCAATTCAGTCGTATCAGTCGTGTCGTGTCAGTTCAGTCGTGATGTGTTGTATTTTGCTTCCGTAACTTTGTGATAAGGATGTGATGCAGCATCAACTCGTATGTCGATCCCAGTGTAGAGAGATGTTCAGAGGGAGCTCAGCGCAAGTGTTCTGCAAAGGCGGACCTACTTGTCAATAAGTTGCTGTTTCCTCACGTTCCATCATCCTTCCTGTGAAGCACGACCTGACCACTCCGGTTTGATAGTCGGTAGCGCCGAGTTGTTTCATTGGGGAGAAATATTTCCTCAGCAGCGTAGGTCACAGCATATACCTTTTGATAAATGCATGCATTGCATTGTTCCATATGAAGGGGATGCAAGCATAATAAGAAAAAAAACCAAAAGTTATAAGCACGCTTGATTCTTTAGTGGGCACTCCCTAAAACGACTGGGAAGGAGCTCCGTAAGCTTCAGCGGGCTTGTAAGATGGACCAGCAGACGTGTAGGAGGGAGCGGGGTTGTGGGAACGAGCAGGTTTGTAGGAGGGGTCTGGCTGGTAGGGGCGAACGGGCTGATAAGAGCGAGCG